GTCATCTTGACATTCTCGAACGTGGCTGATTTTTTTTGAAGGAAATAATTCAAGGATGACGAAAAGTAATTTGGCTGCGAGATGCCTATTTTAGTTTTAAAAATATTATCTAACTATAAGTAATATTAACATAGTGTGTATTTTTTTGGTTAAACTATTAAATAATGTAATAGGAGTATGTTTCTGGATTACATTAAAAAAGCAAGAACTAAAACAAGAACTACAATTATTATTTGTAAAAAAAAAGTGAGCCGTCACGGGACGCCTGGCGGATGTGAAACATCGACAATATTTTGTAAAAGTAATATGCAGAAAAGAACAGATTGTGATAGGAACTAAATATGTCATAATGATAAAATAAAATATTACTATTTTTTTTCCAGATAACGATGACTATTTATTGAATAAACATTTATTTTCATTAAATACAAAAATTTACGAATTTATTTCAAATCATGATTTCGAAATACACACACCGTACACACTACTGCATATAGACTGTATATATATACCATCATATAGCGTAGCGACGCGTCGCCACGGCATGTGACGCCACGCCAGAAATCGGTTTTACGTGCGGCTATAGATGTTTCACATGAAAAGTTTAAAATTATTGCTAAAGTAATCTCCATCTATTTTATGTAATCAAAAAAAAGGAAATCAAAGACCTTCCTGCCCCCCTATAGTGATTACGTAATACGTGAACGGCTCCAAAGGTTTACTACTTTTATATGTATTAATAGTTATAAATAATTCTTTATTTAGTAATTATAATACTTAATATACATAATCTGTTTATTGAGGATAATGACCGATCACTTAGAGAAACTGCTAACTGTCGCCCATGGACAATTGCTACCCCACGACTATGTATGTATTATACATATAATGCGTTTCAAAATATATGAGGTGGGTGATAGGAACTGGTAGGTGGTTTATTGATAAACATACTATTCATCACACGGATGTTAGCACCAATGAACTGTGAGACAACATTCAACAGTTTTGGATGCTAGGTCATAAAAACATCGTCATACCTGTCCTGGATCTGAAATTCATAAAAAAAAATATTTTAAATTAATTCAGAATAAAGGTCGATTCACACATATCAGTGAGCCCACAGTTCCGGCACAGTACCGCATCAGTGATAATTATTCTTTCAAACATTCTCTATGGATGTATTCACACTTGTCAGTGTCAGTGTCGTCTCAGTACCGTCTGTGTCAGTGCCGGCACCGGCCATCACGGACGTGATCGGCGACAACGATATTTTATCACGGATCACTGACGCCGCTGCATCGAAATAAAAAATATTATGCATTTTAAAATATTCAAAATACTTTCTTTCGTCTTTAATTAATTCTTTGTATAATGTCACGAATTCTCCTTCTGTTTCTCTTAACTTCCATGCTTCATGTACCCATTTTCTTTTTTTTCCTCGATTCTCTTCTTCTTCGTCTAAAGCAATGGCTATCATAGCTAATTCTGTGTTATTGAAGAGTGCCATCAAAACAATCGACGTCAACGCTAGTCTGAAGGGAACGTCGTGCACGAAGACCCGCAGAGATCTGTACTGATATGTGTGAATTGAAGCACTGACGCACCACTGTAGCACGGATACGGAACTGTAACGGTACTGTGCCGGAACTGTGGGTTCACTGATATGTGTGAATCGACCTTAAAGGTGTGGAGCGTGAAAAACAAATCTATCAATAATAAGGTCCGTATTTTAGTTACGTTATCAATCATGCTTAAATCCAGTATTAAGAGCTGTTAAATAGATTTGTTCTATACAGTTTGAGTTATTTGACAGTAATTAAATAAGATTGTGATTTGAGTAACAAATCAGAACGAGTATCTGAGTTTTCAATCACAAAAACAAATTAAATAAAACCTTACAAAAAAGAAGTTAGACAATGAAACCTGCTTATGTCAGTGAAAGTTCAATTTTAACAATAGTATTCAAGACCAACTTCAAAAACCCAAAGGAGGGTAACAATTCAACATATAGTCTGTGTACTAGAGTAATTTAAAAAAATTGCCTAAAGGTTTCCGTTTTGAACGGGTTATCTACAGCCACACTGAAAAATTATAATGTTTAATATATTTTGTTGGAAGAGAGAGGAATAAATCAAAATATTTATACATAAACGAACAAAGCATTAATTATTTCTCGACTCACTTAATTTTTGTGCATACTTTAATCCAATTACAGTATAAACTCTTTATAACAAATATCAAGGGTCCGAGTATTTTATTTCGTTATAGAGAGATTCTGTTATAGGGAGTGTGTAGAAAAAAAAAACAAATAACAATAATTTCTAATTTTATTAATATCAATAAGTAAATTATTCTACATACATAACGCTTTAATTAACTAACGCTTTAACTAACATTAAGTTACCATAATTTCTTCCGCACTTCATGCAAAACAGTTCTAGTCTTGTGTCACAGTTTTAAATTAAGTTCATCTCGCCTCATCATTATATATTGTTATTGATAAGTATTAAACAAAAGATTACATTAAAAAAAACAATAAAATAACATTCGCACTGCAGACAGCAAATTTTATCCAGTTGTAACATGGTATAACCATGCTAGCAAAGTAAATTAACTGAATGGTATTCAATGCAAGGGAACCCGAAAATTATAATAATTAATACAGCGTTAAATAAAGTTTGCTTTTAGTAAAATTACCTATGTTAAGTATTTTTGCCCCTCCGGTGGTATTACAAATTCGACCCGGTAAACTAGATGGCGCTACTCGCGCATCTAATACTTTTAATTCAATAACAATATATTTTGGATGAGGCAAGTACACATTCATTCGACTGCTCAGATGGCATCTTGCTATATTTGAATGTGTACGTGTTGTATATAACGCTGTATAATAAGGCATATGTGTTTAACTTTCTTGCGGTGGACTGAGGTTATATTCTACATACAAAAAATTATATTACATATCAATTTTGTTCTCCTTTGGTCTACGCAAGTAATAAATATAAAATTATGCGGTAGTCGGTGATCATGAGCTCGTAAAAACTCGTTTTATGTTAACTGGCTTAGTCTTAAAAATTATAGTTTGATTTTAATGGTTTTAGAGTAACTGTCTTCCTCAATATAGAATTTTCATGTCTATGGCCACCTCACTTTTCAAATGAATTAACTGTTTCTGTCCTAATAAATCAAACTTCGTTCATACCATTAATTGAGAGTTTTATTATTTGCTTTGACGGTTACATAATTATCGTGCATGACATAAGGGCTCCCCAAATTCTTATTCATCTTTATGTAATATAATTTTAAAAAAACCTTATCCTATTTTCCTTAATTAATTCTCTCATCTGTATTTTTCTTGACTCCCTTTTATGTCCAATATACCATTTATTTACGAAGCCCTCTTAAATATTATTGTAATTTATTTATTGCAGTTTTATAACCTCAGTTTCTACTTTCTATAGAATAAGTTAACCGTCTTCCACGAAAGATGGCGTTGGTTCCATGAACAGGCGCCATCTGTTATTTGTATGGTGCTCTAGTTGGAGGTTGAATGCTCATTTTATAAATTGAATAAGGTAGATATACTTTGTGTATAAATTTATTTTTAATGCTTTTTATTGAAAGCAGTCTTTATTAAGCTTAGAATCAAGGTCGTAGTGTATACGTAACTTACGAAATTAATGTTATGGCGGCTGTACACTCTCGTTATATTATAATCTTATGATTGGGGTCCAAAAAAACTCGACATACTCGCTTGTGATGTCTCTGGCATGTACAGCCGCCAAGTTTGATATATTGAAATATATCCAAATTGGTTGCCAGTAAAATTTATGTAACAAAATATTAAAATTGTCTACCAAAATAGTTAGATATAATTAATACAAATATATAATATAAATAAAAGGGATAATCAGCTAATATATGAATAAGATAATTTATAATAATTCCATAGTGTAATTATTGACAGAGTATTAATAATAAAATAATCAAGACCAAACCATAGATTTATTAATAAATGTATTTTAGTACAATGTGTTTTCTTGTTATTCATAATATATCACCCAGGTGAAAAATATTTAAATATTTCTAGTCAAAGTACATGTTTAACTCTCAACAATTTTTTTTTACATTTTAACACTAAGTATATAAAATTTATAAAAAACCCAAACTATCACAGTTAATATCATAATACAGCTTATTATTGCACCATATCCATTAATTAAAAATAACATAGTATAAATCTTAATATCATTTTTTAAATAATATATTTGTGGCATCCCCAAATCCCATCGTAAAATTGATAACATAAAAGGCAATTTACATCAAACGTATACAGCCTTAAGCACGTAAAATTACAATAATATCAGTTTTTGAAAGCCGAAAGCGTCGTTTTTTTTAAGAATAACATATTATTTATGTATTTAAAAAAAACAGGAGTTCTTGTGACGGTAAAACAAATTGGTCACAATTTCTGACTTTCAGAACAATAATATTATAATACTTAAAAACAACATTTGATACTGTAAAAATTAATCAATCTACCAACTATTCATTACCATATTATTACCAATTACTTAAGCATATTAAAAGTGTAAAATGACTCTAATAAAAATCTCTGAAATTACTATATATGGGTGAATAATTCTTGTATTAAAATAGTTATTGCCGCTCGATAAAAATATCGACACAGGACGATATTAACCGGTACATTACTGACTTACCATTGTAGCGTGGTTTCTGTCCACACAATTAGTATAGACTATAGAAATTCGTGTTCCCGTTTAGTTCCAAATACGGTTACTCTTTTAAGATATTCAAATGTCGACAGAAATATCTTTGTACGAAGTTTAACGGCCAAAGGAAATGGCAGCAATAGATTTTATGAGCGACATCTATAAACCATAACCACAAAATGTTTTCACATAAAGGAATGTCTTTATATAAAAGTATCATCATAATAGTATCATAATAGTTACGTCAGAAAACATAAAAGGGATCTTTTAGAGGTTTGCTCTCGCTCCCATCACTTGCTTGCTTTTAAAACGCCAAGTATCCTGAAAAAAAATTCTGAAGTGAATCTGAAGATAACCGAAAATTATCCTTTCCGGACACTGTTTTTTACCTCATTAATGTCGATATTAAATATAAATTTGTTGTTAAGGGTTTAGGCTCAAAAGCTGATCACCTATATAGTAATTACTTAGCAATCACGCAACCGGGGTTTTACTTCAAAAATGTAAAACTAAATCTTAAACCCCAATATGAGAAAATGTGTTAAAATATCGATGTTCTGTACCGTTTATTTATTTGCAAAATAACACTAGTGATAAGGACTAGACATTCAAAAGAGGTAATTTATTTTATTAATAGAATAGAAATTTACCACAAAAGTGAGGTCAAATCCTCTCCTTTGGGCTTCGTTCTCAATATCTTTGGCGACAACCTCTTGGACAGTCCCACCCACGTCCACATACTGGCAGTAACCGCTGGCGTAGTGAGCCGTTATCGATTTGCGGTAGAACTGAAAATAGTTCATAATTAAACTTAGAATTGGTCAAAGTCAAGACCAAAAATCCTCGGAGCAGTGAGGTCGCTACGTGCATCCTGCGGAGTGCCCAGGAAACTTCTGAGCTTCTGGAAGGAGGCTAGGCCGGCTTAGTTAGCCAGGAATTAAAGCACAACGGACCAAATCTGCGTCTAAGTGCGTATACTGAGTCCACACACTAGTGGAAGTTAAAATATAATTTATAGTTTCAAAACGTTAAACTACTAAATATTTCTTAATTTACATTTACGAAAGAATAAAAGTTTGGCCTCTGAGTTGTGGGCGAAATAAGAGCGAGCTCTTTCATAACAGTGAGATTACGCAAAAAAATTTTTTATATCCAACATTTCTGCAAGAGGAAGAGCAGTGTTTGCCTTTGGCTTCAGGGAGAGACTCATCCCTGATAACGTAGGTTCGATCTGGGATCCGGCTGTGCACCAATGGGCTTTCTTTCTATGTGCCAATTTAACATTCGCTCGAACGGTGAAGGAAATCATCGTGGGGAAACCGGCTTACCTAGAAAGTCGACGGCGTGTGTGTCAGACACAGGAGGCTGATCACCAACTTGCCAATTAGATTGAAATGTGATAATGAAACAGATACAGAAATCAGAGGCCTAGACTTAAAAAAGGTTGTAGCGCCACTGATTTTTTTTTAAATATTTATAAGGCTGCAGGAATTACCTTTTTTTATGTTGACAACTCTTTACGCTCTTTACGTCATTACAGTTCGACAGATATTTTAAAATTAACTTGTGAGTAAAAAAAGTAATTTGTGAGTTCAAAACCTTCCGATTTTCTCAAGGTTTTCCTCACAATACTGGCAAGGGTAAATTGCGTACGTGGAAAAAACCTCTAGTTGGTGATCTGGGGTCTACATAATACTTCCATACGACTTTTTTTTAAATGGTTTGAAGAAATACTCACCTTAGTAATATTTGGTCCAGACCCATGAACAATTAAGGGGTGAAAGAACACTGTATCTCCGGGAGTCATCTCCAACTGGACATACTTGCTGCTGTCAAACACCGACTTGTCTAATATACCGTGGTATAATTTATTTGCATCCTGAAATTAGATACTTTCTTTAAACCCTTATCTTCCTCATCGTAGTCTTCAGTAGTTTTAAGCCCTAACCGATACGTCGACTTGCTGCCTCCACACCACTTTATCCTCAGCTTGTCTCATGGCATTAGGGATGTTGAGAGCCATAAATATCTTAATTTGGTCAGACCCCGTTGGAGTTGGATTAAAATAAAATATAATTCTAAATATTACTGTTTTCTCTGTTTTACAAGGTAATCCTGCACACTTCCGATGAGCCCATGCGCTTGCAACTTGCGTGCAAATGAGCTGACTTGCACTTGTACGCACGACACTTCGTGCATGCAACTTGCAACTTGTATGCAAGTCACTTGCATAATGAAAACGCGGCTTTATAAGCACGTATTAATAGAATAATTAAATTAATCACTTTCAGAAATCGGCCTTCTTTGCCTATTAAACCCCTAGATGAAATAAATTTAAACCAAAACGCTTCAATTATACTAACCGGCAAATGCCCATGTGCATACAAATGATTCAACTTGTGAGACCGTGGTATGATGAAGAGGCAGCCATTGTCCTTCGTGACTTCATCAACAGCTGTCCATGACGCTATGATTTTCTCTGCAGGACGAAAGGGGAAGTAAAATAGGTCCTGTTAATGGAAAAGTCTAATTAGTAAACTGAATTGAACCAGGAGATAATATTCCTATTAAAAGTATATTTCTGTTTTAGTTGTGTTTATTCTCTTACTTTAATTGGCTATTAACTAATAAATTACTCTTACTTTAATATTATTATTTTTCTTATGGTCTCAAACATCACACATGTTTAAATAGAATAGAAAAATGGTATAGACGTGTGAAAATGACATGAGAACTTAACCAGATCCATGCAAGTTTCCAACAATCCAGCCCGCAATATCCCAGCACACCACTCCTGTACTTTGTATCAAATAAGTAGCACCAATCGTCCACGAATACACAATATAAATACATAAATGTCAACTAGGTAGGAATATAACAAGGCAAAATGAAAAATACAGTGTAATGTCTTCATAACGAATTTCAAGGGACCGAGCATATTAGTTGTGTTAGTGACGATGGTGTGTTTAGTAACTGACACCAAATTCCGTACAGGAAAAGTAATCTAAGAATAATGGCACACGTGTTAATTAAATTTAAACAAAGGCGAGAAGGCTGTTTATGACCTCACCTGTATTTCTTAGAAATTTCGGCACCTCAATAGGTGAGTTTTATGCTTATAAAATCAGCTTTGATTATAAAAACAATTGCACTTAAGTATTTTGTTGATGTCTAAATATGAAAATATTTCTTGGTAATAGAGAATGCCTGTTGCGTCAAAGTGAAGTAATGTATGGGTTTTGTGTTAAACCAAACAAATTCCACTCATTTTTACGTTATAGTTTTTCTAAAGATGTTATAAAGTTTGCATTGTAATAATAATAGCAAATAATAACACTGCAAAGGTTGCTAGGCGAAAGGTCTCTATTGAGTTGCTTAAAATGTCCACCAAGTCATTTTTAATTAGTTTTATTATAAACACGTATAACATGCAGCAATTAATTACAATTACCTGATGGGGTGGGTGATGAGAACTGCCAGGTGGTTTATTGATAAACATACTATTCATCACTCGTATGTTATCACCAATGAACTGTGAGACAACATTCAACAGTTTTGGATGCTCTGTATAGGTCATAAATACATCGTCGTAATGGATCTCCTGGACCTGAAATTCATAAAAAAATAATTTTAAATTAATTAAGAATAAAGCCGTGGAGCGTGAAAAACAATTCTATCAATAATAAGGTCCGTATTCTAGTAAAATCAAGCATAAATCCAGTTTTAAGTGCTGTTAAAGAGTATTTTTTGTTAACAATTTGAAATATTTGATAGTAATTAAATAAGATTGTGATTTGAGTAACAAATTAGAACAAGTATCATAGTTTTCAACCACAAAAACCAAATTAATAAAAAACAAAAGCAGTAATCAATTCAACATGTAGTCTGTTTACTAGTGTACATAAAAAAAAACTTGCCTAAAGGGATCTCTATACCCCATGTTTATACAAAAACTAATTACCACTTTGACATTGAATTCTTATAGAAATACAAGAACAATCAATACAAATAAGAAATATTGTTATTGAATCATTTTTTAATGCATTTTTAAGCTTTGGTGAGTTGGTGACATACCTATATGTATTATCTGTTAAAATGGAATTTACTCATAAAGAATACCTTATTGATGGCCTGCTCTCCTGTCATCCCCTTCTTGACAAGAGAAGGCTCACGAACTACTGTTGAATTTCCTTTATCCACCAGCCCTTTGGCAATAAGAATAAAATGCTGTCTGTGGACATGAATAATAATAATAGAAAAACTCCAAAACTTATTTTATAGTTGCATACTCTAAAATATAATCTAATGAGCACATCATAAACACAATATACACCTATTTAATTAAAGAGATACTTACTTAAAGTTGTATAATTCATCAAAATCAAACATCCGTTTTATAACAAGGTACCCATTTTCTAGATAAAACTGTTTTTGTTCTGCTGATAAAAAGTAGTTGTTATCTACAGCCACACTGCAAAAATTATGTTTAATACTTTTTTGTTGGAAGAGAGGTAATAAATCAAAATTTTTATACATAAACGAACAAAGCATTAATTATTTCTTGAGTCACAGTCAGTAATTTTTGTGTATATTTAATCTAGTTATATCCAAATAGCAAATATAATATCGAAGGATTCAATATGATTTATTTCTAAAAAAGTATTTTCAAGTGTTACCAATTTGGATGAGGCTTAATCTCTGCAGCCGTCGAGGATTCCATAGTGTTTGAATAAAATTGCAATTTGCAACAAGTATATTGCTCTATTTCAATTTGCAGGGCTGGCCTCTGTTCGATGTTTTAGTTAAACTCAGTTAAATTAAAAACTGTACTGTAGTCAGTAGTAGACAGTAAGTGTCAAACGTTTTAATAGCACTTCGCAATTATTAAAGTGTTACCAACTCAAGAGTCCGTAAAATCCCCTAAATAAATTGTAAGAAAACAAATTAAGTGTTTCTCCAGAAATAACTTTTAATTAAATGTTTAAGAATTTTAACACCTTCCAATATGTTTTGAAGTGATTTAATTTTATTTCGTATAGTCAATTGACTATTTTATTTTAACTTACTAGAGATATTCATAACACTCTCGCTGGTAACAATAATTCTTTAGTATTAGCTTATGTGCTACAAATTCACGAGATCTTAGGCTGTGACGAGTCTAAAATATCTTTATTACAAAGTATGTAAAGTTTAATTTTACATAATATGGGAAGAATACTTCTAACACGTGACCTTGTTACGTCTTCTTCATGTGCAAAATGGTTTTAAAATACCTATCCGGTTTTATATCAGTACGACTTTTTCAACTATTTAAATAATTTACATACAAAATTTGCACTAAAGTTCAAACGACAAACATTGCTTGGGAGTTAAATCATAAAACAATAAATAACTATAATATTTGTTTAGATTGCATCTAATTGCTTATAATAATTGACACCTAAAATTGTATTTGTCCATCGTAATGTACCTACCTACTTTTATTAAGTTGTCCATTATTAATTTATTCATTACGTCGAATTTAACCTTGACCTTCTCTAAAGAATTAACCTGTAATTAACTGTCGCAGTGATAAGCCTCCTATTGAAGTTAAAAACGACGGTAATCGTTTAGATTTAAAATCAAGATATATTATGGGTAAATAAATATTTTGCTTGAGGCTTTAATGCTAAGTCGATTTTGATATATTTCGATCGCAACGCAGTGTGCGTTGGCACATTTAAAGGGACATACTTAAATCATTTTATAAAATATCTGTGACGATCGAGTCATACGTTTTACAAAATATTCTTATTTTATAAATTACTTTTGAAACTAAAAATGTATCAGTAAAAGTATGTATCTTTATCTATCGTATGATTTTACCTTTTTTGATTTAATATGTTATTTCGAAGATTAAATTAAAATATAAAAAACAATATAGTAAAGTAGTAGCCGTTTAATTAAATAATTTTTGGCATTAATAAACACTTGGTTTTGAGTATGCACCAGCGAATAGTGGTACTTCAATCTCTTTATCTATTATCATATAAAGGAATGGTCTATTTGCTGTGAATTTTTCCGGTAAACTTCTTGATATGAAGCCTGCGCCACTAACGGCACTCGCTGTTGTTCCTTCCTCATTGACCTCTATATCAGCTTTTTGAAAGAAATCTGAAACTGATAATTCGTAAGGAGATATCTTCGCGAAGCTCGCTTGAGAACTGTCAAACATAGTTCTCAACCCCATATCTGACAAGAGCTCTTTTAGATTATTTAAATTTGTGCTTGTCTTGAATCTTGGGAGCTGTACCATCACGTCTTGCTTTTCTTCGGCTTCGAACAGTTTATATATAGTGGTCAATGTGATTGTTTTAAATTTTTCTATGACACTGAATAGTGAAACCTCTGGATATGGGAGAAAGAATAGTGCAGTGTATCTTTCATCACTGCCGTAAGGTAGTTCCAAGACTTGAGCGCCTATGACATCAACTTCTTTTTGGTAAAAGTTTCCAGTAACAAACATAAGGTTTACATCTCCAGTCTGATCCCCTTTTTCGTTATAAAATGCGCTCACTTCTGTGTCTTCTTTTCCAAAAGGTACGCTCCAGGTGCCTTTGAAGAATATTGCATCAATTGCAAGCATTACTATATCTTCTAAGTCTCCTGGGGCGACCACTTCATATATCGAACCGTGCGTCGCTTCACTTACGTAGTTGTTGATAACAGATGCGGCATATTCAGGGTTGCCAAAAGAAAGCACTTGGAAATCACTTACTTTTTTACTTATGATTGTATTTTTGAAATAATTTTTGATAGGCAAGTTTTCATCCGTAAATATGATGGAATTTCTTTCAACAATGACGTCCGAAGAGGAGTTTGAGTTGATGATTTTTACAATGTCCAAGTACTTGTTGTTAAAGCAAGAATGACTATGCAGATGGAGGACATCTCTGAGTTCCGCTAACGTTTTGTCTGTTGCTCCTAATGAAATACATGATAGTAACGTCCAAATTGAAAGAGTTGAAGCGATGAAATGACTTTCTTTCTCTTCGGCTATTCTCATCATCAAGTCCACAGAGAAATCGAAGACCGCCCTTCTAAATTCTGGTTTAGCATTTTCAACTGAACATTGACATAATATTGAAGGTATTAAACCGACGAAAAACAAAAACTTTAGTTCCATTACGTGTGCGTGTTTTCAAAACTCCTCAAAGACTGACTTGTACCTACTTCGAAATCACAAGTATCATTGCTATCTTCGTGACCCCTAGCCGTGATAAGCTTCAATTAATTTTTAATGTATAGGCATATAATTTATTGTTGAGTAAAAGAATAACTTGTCCAATTTCTACAGTTTTATTTTCTTTAACAAAATAGACGATGAAAAATCTTTTTCTCTTTGTGTCAAAGTCATAGTTAAAGTTTTCACAATTTTTAAATACTTCTCGGTAACATGTGCCTAACATTCCTTTATTTTCATCAAGTCATTTCCGACTTTGGCGTTTTATAAACTCACAAAATAAACCTTAACCGAAGATATGTAACACGCAGCAAGGTCATCTCGTTTGACTTGGTCTTTGCCCACTGGGGTACCTACTTACCAGAACATATAATTTGTGTTATCTCTTTGCGAAATTCCTTGAAATTAATTAATGTGTTTGTTTTCACTATGAATGATTTTTATTTATTTAATACAAAAAACTGTTACTGTTTATTAGTTATCATTACTATCAACTATACAGTATTTACAATTTTCTTAACCTACATAGTAATAATACAAATAATTATTAAAAAGTAATAAAACGAATATTAAAAAAAAAATTAAAAAGTTCGTTGAGCGAGGAAAGCAACAGGTCTGGTGCCACCGGTAATATCTACCAGGCGCCAACTTAAAGGCTAACTAATATAATATATTATATTATTATTACTTTATATTTAATACATAATGGACGTAGAATTAATATCACGATAGTCTCCTCAGTGTATAAAAGAATTTCTATGAAACAAATGCATGTCAATTAGGTATTTAATATGTACTTATTTTCTAGTGTTTTGATAATGCACAAAATAATAATATACAGTATAACAATTATTTGAATAAAACAAGTATGATATTTATTAAAGCGTTATAAATAGCAATACTCAGAATTTGTATATGGAGTTAACATATTTAAGCCCGATTCACATATATCAGTGAAGCCACAGTTCCGTCAACGTGTCCGCTCAGTTCAGTATCAGTGATACAGTATTGCCTCAGTCATTCAATTCACACATGTCAGTACTCCAGTTTACGGAGCTTCAGTGAAAACGTGTCCGTCGCATTGTCAACGTGATTATGGCTCTGTTCAATATTACGGAGCTAGCAATGATAGCTGTTGCTTTAGACGAAGAAGAAGAGGAGCAGCATCAAGATTAAAAGAAAATGGGTGAATGAGGCATGGCAATTAAGAGAGACGGAAGGAAAATTCATCACGTTTTACAAATAATCAGTTAAAGATGAAAGAAAATATTTTGATAATATCTCAATATTCTTCTGCAATAAACAAAATGTAAAAACAAATAATAATACGGCGTCAGTGATCCGACAAAAAATATCTTTGTCAACGAATCTGTCCGTGATTGCCGGTGTCGGCACTCGGCACTGACACTGAGAGCTCTGTGTCGTCACTGACATTGATAAGTGGAGATGCGTTCATAGAGAATGTACGAAAGAATATTTCGCACTGTGCCGTTACTTTTTCGGAACTGTGTAGGAACTGTGGCTTCAGTGATATATGCGAATGGGCCTTTATAGAATTAGTTACTATATAATTTAATATGAGATGTGTTTATTCTCTTACGTTAATTGGCTATTAACTAATAAATTACTCTTACTTTAATATCATTATTTAGATTACAGATTAAAGTAGGGTGAGTTAATTACAGTTTAAAAATATTAACTATAAGTAATATTAACATAAAGTGTGTATTTTTTGGTAAAACTATTAATGTAATAGGAGTATATGTTTCTGGATTAGATTAAAAAACAAGAACTACAATTATTATTTGTAAAAAAGTTAAAAATTATTGCTAAAGTAATCTCCATCTATTTTATGTAATCAAAAATAAGAAAATCAAAGACCTTCCTTCCCCCTTTATAGTGATTACGTAATACGTGAACGGCTCCAAAGGTTTACTACTTTTATATTAATAGTTATAAATAATTCTTTATTTAGTAATTATAATATACATAATCTGTTTACGGAGGATAATGACCGAGAGAAACTGCTAACTGTCGCCTGTGTAGTCTGTGTACCTACTACAGTAATTAAAAAAAAATGCCTAAAGGGATCTGCTGTATACCTAACGTGACCAGCCGTCCCGTTTTGAACGGGTTATCTACAGCCACACTGAACAATTATAATGTTTAAGTAAGTAATACTCTTTTGTTGGAAGAGAGGAATAAACCAAAATATTTATACATAAACGAACAAAGCATTAATTATTTCTCGGAGTCACTCAATTTTTGTGCATACTTTAATCCAATTACAGTAGAAACTCTTTATAACAAAGTTCAAGGGTCCGAACATTTTCTTTCGTTATAGAAAGATACCGTTATAGGGAGTGAGTAGAAAAAAAAACAATTACAATAATTTCTAATTTTATAAATATCAATAATTCAAAGTTTAGTATTATTTACGACTAATAATACACGATACGTGACGGTGATGCGTTTAGTTACTGAGACCAAAATTTCCTACAGGCAACGTACTCGAAGAATAATGGCACACGTGTTAATGAAATTAACAATAACAAAGGCGAGACGGCTGTATATGACCTCAGATGTCTTTCTTAGAAATTTCGGCACCTCAAAAGTTTTTGTAAGCTGATTATAAAAAAAGGGTGCGTGTACTTATGTACGCGCGTAAGAAGTTATACTTCTTTGGCATTATTAAAAATAGTTTTTGATTGCAAGCAAATAATTAATTACAATTAAATAATCAAAGCCTGGAAAAGGAGTCATTAAAGTCAATAAAGTTCAGTTTACATTTGAAAAGTTAAATAAATAAATATTTATTAATATTCTCGTACATTAAGTGTAACATAAATTCTATTATTATTCGAATGTTGTTTTTAAATTATGTCCAATGCCGTAGCATCTTCCGTGGGCAACTTCATTCTGTTAATTTTGTGTCACGGTGCGCGCGCATCGTAAAATTTCACTCTCATCATTATTTCATAACGCGCCTAAAGAAGTATAACTTCAAAAATTACACTTACACACTGTATGTTGTTGATGTCTAAATATGAAAATATTACTTCGTTACAAAGAATGGCTGTTCCGTTCCAAAAATTGAATTAATGTATGGGGTTTGTGTTAAACCAAACAAATGTAACTAATAACTATATCAACGTTATATACAGTTTTTACTTGTCACGAATGACGTTATAATGAGTTTACACTGTAACCAATTTAGATGAGCCTTAATCGTTGCAGCCATCGAGGATTCCATAGTATTTGAATAAAATTGCAAGTATATTGCACTATTGCAGGGCTGGCCTCTGTTCGATGTTTTTAATTAAGCTCAGTTAAACTAAAAACTATAGTTATAGGTATCAAACATTTTAATCGCAATACGCAATTATAAAAGTGTTACCAAATTAGATTAAGAGTTCATAAAATCCTCTAAATATAAATTATAATAAAACAAGTTAAGAGTTTCTCCTGAAATAATTTTAACTAAATGTTTGAGTATTTTAACACCTTCGAATAATATTTGAAGTATTGTAATTATATTACGTTCCAATTGCAATAGTCAATTAACTATTCATAACGCTCTCGCTGGTTACGATAATTCTTTAGTATTAGCTTAATATGTGCTACAAATTCACCAGATCTCAGGCTGTGATCTTTCTACAATATCCTTATTACAAAAGAAACAGTGAGATTTAAAGTTGTGGACTTCTGGAGTTGTTAAACGACTCTTCAATATACGACAGTCTTATTATTAATATAAGCAGGATGTTAGATTGGATTTATTATACTTAGGTACCATTTCTTGGAATTTTCTTGGAGATTAAAAGGCCCGAGAAAATCGGCTAAAATATGTAAAGTTTTTGATATTACATAATTACCCTTTCAATATGGGATGAATACTTCTAAAAAGTGACCTTGTCACGTCTTCATGTTTAAAATGGTTTTTATATCAGTACGTTTTTTGCAACTATTTATATAATTTGCATACAAACTTAGCACCAAAGTTCAAACTACAAACATAGTTTGGGAGTTCAATCATAAAATAATAATTAATACCTATATTTGTTTACTATATAATATATATCCTAATTGCTTATAATCGGCACCTAAAATTGAATTTTCTATCGCAATTTATTTAACTTTTATTTATCTCTCCATTATTAATTTATTTATTACGTAGCATTTAACCTTGTTGACCTTCTCTAAAGAATTAACCTGTAATTAACTGCCTTCTATTGAAGCTAAAAACGACGATTATCATTTAGATTTAAATCGAAATATATTATGGGCAAATAATTATTTTGTTTGAGGCTTTAATGCTAAATCGATTTGGAAATACATATTTCGACTACAACGCAATGTGCGTTGGCACATATAATTTTATAAAATATCTGTGACGATCGAGTCAATAAAATATCAGTAAAACTAATTATCGGTTATCGTATGATTTTACCTTTTTTGATTAAATATGTTATACTTATATGTATATTTTGAAGATTAAACTAAAATATTTGTACAAAACAATATAGTTAGTAGAGTAGTAGTAGTTTAACTAAATAATTTAAGGCATTAATAAACACTCGGTTTTGAGTATGCACCGGCGAATAGTGGTACTTCAATCTGTTTATCTATTATCATATAAAGAAATGGTCTATTTGCTTTGAATTCTCCCGGATAACTTTTAAATGTGCCTGCTCCACTAACGCCACTCGCTGTTGTTCCTTCCTCGTTGACCTCTATATCAGCTTTTTGAAAGAAATCTGAAACTGATAATTCGTAAGAAGAGATCTTCGCGAAGCTAGCTTAAGAACTGTTGAACATAGTTCTCAACCCCATATCTGACAAGAGCTCTTTTAGATTATTTAAATTTGTGCTGGTCTTGAATCTTGGGAGCTGTACCATCACATCTTGCATTTCTACGATTTCGAACTGTTTGTATATAGTGGTCAATGTGATTGTTTTCAATTTTTCTATGACACTGAATAGTGAAACATCTGGATATGGGAGAAAGAATAGTGCAGCATATCTTCCATCACTGCCGTAAGGTAGTTCCAAGACTTCAGCGCCGATGACATCAACTTGTTTTTGGTAAAAGCTGCTAACAACAAGCATAAGGTTTACTTCTCCAGTCTGATCCCCTTTTTCGTTGTAAAATGCGCTCACTTTTGTGTCTTTTTTTCCAAAAGATCGATCCAGCTACCTTTGAAGGATATTGCATCAATCGCAAGCATTACTATATCATCCAAGTTTCCTGGGTCAACCACTTCATTTATGGAACCGTGCGTCGCTTCACTTACGTAGTTGTTAATAACAGATGCGGCATATTCAGGATTGCCAAAAGAAAGCACTTGGAAATCACTTACATTTTTACTTATGATTGTATTTTTGAAATTATTTTTGATAGGCAGGTTTTCATCCGTAAATATGATGGAACTTCTTTCAACAACGACGTCCGAAGAGGAGTTTGAGTTGATGATTTTTACAATCTCCAAGAACTTGTTGTTAAAGCAAGAATTACTATGCAGATGTAGGACACCTCTGAGTTCCGCTAACGTTTTGTCTGTTGCTCCTAATGAAATACATGATAGTAACGTCCAAGTTGAAAGAGTTGAAGCGATGAAATGACTTTATTTCTCTTCGGCTATTCTCATCATCAAGTCCACAGAGAAATCGAAGACCGCCCTTCTAAATTCTGGTTTAGCATTTTCAACTGAACATTGACATAATATTGAAGGTATTAAACCGACGAAAAGCAAAAACTTTAGTTCCATTACGTGTGCGTGTTTTCAAAACTCCGCAAAGACTGACTTGTACCTACTTCGAAATCAAAAGTATCATTGCTATCTTCGTGACCCATAGCCGTGATAAGCTTCAATTAATTTCTATGTATAGGCTATAAGTTACATAATTTATTATTGAGTGAAAGAATTACTTGTCCAATTTCTACAGTTTTATTTTCTTGAAAAAAATAGACAATGAAATATCTTTTTCCCTTTGTGTCAATGTCATAGTTAAAGTTCCTCTATATTCATCAAGTCATTTCCCACTTTGGCGTTTTATGAGCACACCAAATAAACCTTAACCGAAGATACTCGTATGTAACACGCAGCAAGGTCATCTCGATAGACTTGGTCTTCGCCCACTGGGGTACCTACTTACCAGAATATATAATTTGTGTTATCTCTTTGCGAAATTCCTTGAAATTAATTAATGTGTTTGTTTTCAGTATGAATAATAACCATTGACCCTAGTTTATCAGTGTGTCCTAAGTGTTATATATAGTTCAGTTCTTTTAGTAGCGTTAATGCTGATAGACGCTTCAACTTATCCTAACTAAGTTCAACATTGTTTATTTACAATATACAGTGTTTGAAGAATGATGTATATTTTGTTTTTGTTTATTTTATGCCCTTTGGTCAGTCATGGAGGTCAATTTCATTGCAGTCAAGACTCTGCCATGGTTAGCTTTAAGCGCCCGACTTATGATTTCTCGGTTCGCATACTAGATCGTGTCTCACAGGAATCCGGTAGCCATTTCGTTTTTTCTCCTATATCGACATGGCTACAGTTAATGACGCTTGCCGAAGGTGCAAAAGGGCCTACAGCAGATGAATTATGGAAAGTAACAAGATATCACAGAATGAAATGCTTCCGTAGAAAATATCGAGAAATCCTTAATTTAATGAATGACGAACTATTGCCAATGACAAAAAGATCCAGTACCATCGTAGTAAATAAATTGTTAGATGTAAAAACATCATTTACAAATGAAGTGATAAAAAGTAAGGAAACAAAAGTGCTTTTGCTAGACTTTGATGATCCAGCAGGTTCAGCTGGGAAGGTTAACAATATTATTAAAACAAATATGAATGGAGTTATTGAGGACGGATTATATCAAGATGCGTGTCGGGTGTGCACCAACTGTAAACACAAGTTCCGTCTTACCGTTGTTATTAAAAATATATCCAGTGAATAATACAGTGCAAATATATTTCAAAAGTCATAAATTCGATACAAACTAAAGATTTAAAAAATTGTTTAATGCAGAAACTTCGAACAAATGCTTGAAATAACAAAATTAGCTGCGACGCATTGAAGAAGTGACTCAGCACGGACCAACCTGCAAATATTAACATTTTTTATGACATGTGATGTTGAGTGCAAAAAAGGAGTCAAAAGCTACTATTTATTGTGGAGTGGAACGTTAATTAATATATCTCACAGTGAAAGTGCATACGTGACTAATAACATTTATAATTATTAGTCATCACATTAAAAGTCACTACCAAACCAAAATATATATAGAAGAAATTCAACCACTTCGTCAAACCAGTAGCTGGCCGCCTCAGTACGACGACGACGCTTTATCAACGGATCCAAGATCAAATCTAGTTACTTCTTCTTGTTTAAGTTGTAGTGTACTTTCTTTTTTAAATTTTTATTGTGTTTTATATTCTATTCGATGATAGTTGATGATAGTTCCGGCTCCGACTGTCTAGACGTAAATACATAGTGTAACGAAGCTCCGTATTTCTACGAATAAACTGTGAATATACTGTGAACTCCGGTGTAAAAACATTTAAATTTCATACATATTGTGATAAACTATACTGCAACTAAAACATCCAAGTGCAAACTGTGTTATCAAGATAATTGTTCAGTGGTTAAAAAGTGGAAAAAACTTTTGAGGCTACCTGCCAAACAAACCGAGTATAGACTATAGACACAATTTCAACAAAACTAAGGCGGGTCAGTACTACCAACATAATAGTCCTATTAAGCTGCGTTCACAATAATACGTTTCATTTCACGTAAGCGACAGCGGCAAAAATGGATAACCTTCAATCTTTTTTTGAACAAATGAAAATAGAAATGTCAAAACAAACCGATGACATTATGGCACGGATTGATGAAAAACTAGTTCCTTTTAGACTTGAAATGCAGGAATTAAAATCAGAAAATGATAAATTAAAGGAAAAAATAAACAATCTTGAAAAATTTAGAAGATACAACAACCTAATTTTATATGGAGTAAAAGAAACCGAAACATCGACTATCGACCTAATCGAAATAATCAAAAAGAAATTTGAACATGATTTAAACATTACTTTTGAAGATAGGGATGTGAACACGATCTATAGAATTGGCAAAAATAACACAAAAACGGAAAAGAAAGGCCTATCCTCCTAACATTCGTGAACGCCTGGAAGAAAAACGAGATAGTGGTAAATAAAAAGAAATTGAAAAACTTGTATTTATCTGAAGACTACCCGAAAGAAATATTGGACATGAGAAGGAAACTACAACCAAAATTGGAAGAGGAAAGGAAGAAGGGCAATTATGCATACATAAACTACGACAAGCTAATTATTAAACAGGGCAAACCAGGTAACGAAAAACGCAAAAGGGAAACATCAACCTCGCCTAACGCAATAGAGCACCCTCACAAACAACAACTGTCAACAAAAGCAGCTCGGTTAAATGCATTCGACATAATGAGGAATAGAAGTAATTCCTTACCTTCTGCCAATGTGCCAACCGTTCAGAATCTATAGGATATTGCCATCAGCCACCGGAACAAAACATTAAACAGACGAGAACTAATAGATAAAAGAAACAAAACATTCCCCAATCCGACTTGTCATCGTGGGGAATCAGACTACAACCCTCCACCAAATAGAGAAATAGATCATGGTATGAAACGAACACTCAAAATCTGCAATTATAATGTAAAATCGCTAGGATCAATAGAACGATTCCTTGAATTGACTAATGCTCTAAAAAATATTAACTGGGACATTATAGGCCTTGCAGAAGTCCGAAAAATGGGATGTAAGATAGAAGAGCACAGCGACCTTATATTTTGCTATATTGGCGAAACTAAAGGACTATATGGAGTGGGATTCCTTATCAAGAAAATGTATAAAAATAACATCATCAACTTTATAGGAATCTCTGAAAGAGTAGCACTTCTACAAATGAAGTTTGATTGCTTCTCTTTTCAATAATCCAAGCATATGCACCGACAGAGAGATCAACAGAAGAAGAAATTGAAAATTTTTACAAAGACATTGAATTTGCTCACACAAAGACAGAAGGGAAGGTCATTGTCATGGGAGATTTCAACGCGAAAATAGGATGTCCAAAAACAAACTACTATCCAGTAATGGGAAAATATGGTTACGGAGTGCGGAATGATAGAGGGGAACGGCTCTTAATTTATGCTCATCAATACAAACTATCCATAATGAACTCATTTTTCAAAAAGAAAGCAAGCTCTAGATGGACATGGTTATCACCCGACCACAAAACTAAAAATGAAATAGATTTTATTATGATAACCCACAACAAACTTATAACTAATATTGAGGTACTTAACAAAGTTGAATTCTCTTCCGATCATAGATTAGTGAGAGCAACATTACTTTTGAGTAGTCCAGTAAAGAGCAGAAAAACCTATACAACACCAGCTAATATCCCCAAGACAGAAACAGAAATAAAGTGCTACATCGGAAATCTACAAAAACATACAGAAAATATAAAAACAGACAGCATTGATATTCAAACATACTACAATATCCTGGAAAAAGGCATAACAGAGAGCTTAAAATACAAAACCAATATGTATCCCCACCAACACAATATCTTCTCAAAAGACACAATGGAACTTTTAAAAAGGCGCACGGAACTACTACACACAAAGAACAAAACTAAAGATATGAAAACAGAACTAAGCAGAATATACAAAGAGACTAATAGATCAATCCGTAAGGACTACAACAACCACAGATACGAGATTATTACAAGGAACATTAAACATTTTAGAAGTGCCAAAAAAGCATACAAAGAATTAACTACACACAAGTCCTGGATTCGAAAACTTGAAAATAACTCACTAAAAACAAAATCCAGAAAAGATGTAATAAATCACGCTACTAACTTCTACAAAAACTTATATAGTAAACAAAATAACCCCGAAATCATATCGCAAACAACCCATACGAACACGACAGATCACATCAGACAAATTGAATACTCCGAAGTTTATGATCATATGAAAAAGCTGAAAGCCGAGAAGAGTCCCGGACCAGACGGAATATGCAATGAGGCACTTAAAATAGGAGCACCCATTTTAACATATCATTTTACGCGATTGTTCAATAAGATACTAGATGAAGAAAAGGTACCAAAACAGTGGTGTACATCGGATATAATCCTTCTCTTCAAGAAAGGAAATCCCTTAGATATAGGGAATTACAGGCCCATAAGTCTGCTGGCAAGTATTTATAAACTATTTTCATCCATAATCTTAAAGAGAATATCTGACGATATTGATAAGCAGCAACCAAAAGAACAGGCAGGATTCAGATCAAGCTTCAGCACAATGGACCACATACAGACATTAGAGCAAGTCATAGAAAAATACAGAGAACACAATAGACCTCTGTATGTGGCGTTCATTGACTATAGCAAAGCTTTTGATAGCATTAGTCACTGTGCAATCTGGAACGCTTTACAATATTCAAATATCAACCAGAAATACATCAATGTTTTGAAATATATCTATACAAAAAGCACGAGCAGAGTTAAATTAGAAACTAGAGGCGACGAAATAAACATAGAACGCGGAGTTAGACAAGGTGATCCTCTTTCCCCGAAGCTGTTTATAGCAGTCCTTGAAACTATCTTCCAAAAACTAGACTGGAAGAACAGCGGAGTGTACATAAACGGACAATACTTAAACAATCTGAGGTTCGCAGATGATATTGCTGTTATTGCTGAGACTGCAAAAGACTTAGACGAAATGATGAGATCACTGGACTGCGAAAGTTCCAAAATCGGCCTTGAAATGAATGTAAATAAAACGAAGATACTAACGAACAATCGGGAGCGCCAGATAGTGATAAAAGGTAATAATATAGAATACGTCAGGCAATACATATACTTGGGCAAACAAATTTCCTTCAAAACTTCAAATAACGAAGAAGAAGTGACAAGGAGAATCAACACAACTTGGAAGAAATTCTGGGCACTAAAAGAAATCTTAAAAGGCAATTACAGCTCACACATGAAAAGGACAATATTTGATACATGCCTGTTACCTTGCTTGCTGTATGGCTGCCAAACTTGGACCTTTACAAATAAAATAAAACAAAAAATTAAAAGTAACCAAACAGCAATGGAAAGGAGTATGCTGAAAATTAGGAAAATACACAAAATTAGGAGCGAAGAAATTCGTCAAAAACCAAATTAACTGATGCTCTCAGGCACGCACTCTTACTCAAATGGAGATGGGCTGGACACATCTCACGATACCGAGACAGAAGATGGACCATTGAAACCACACGATGGAAAGGACCCATGGGGAAGAGAAATGTTGGTCGACAATTAAGACGGTGGGCTGATGATATAACACACGTCGCAGGAAACGACTGGATACAAATAGGCAGAGACAGGGAGTCATGGAAAAGGATGGAGGAGGCCTTTACCCAACAGGGATCCAAACCTTGTACATAAATAATAATACTAACGGTAATTATAAGTAACCATTTTAAATTTAAGCAACTAAGTAGTACTAACAACATTGTAAAACATAAGCAAGTTTTGGAATAAATGGCTTTATTATTATTATTATTATTATTATATCAAGATGATTTTAATTTAACTGTGTTGTTATTAGCCGACACAGCGTACTTTAGAAGTGACTGGCAGGTACCATTCAACCCAGTATACACGTCAAAGGAAACATTCTACTCGGAAGAAAACGAACCTATAGGTGATGTTAAACTGATGACTCAAATTGGATACTTCAACGTAACTGATGTCTCATATGTGAATGCTAGGATCTTGGAACTACCTTTTAGCCCAGAAGGCAGAGTATCAATGTTAATACTACTACCAAAGGTTGGTTCGGTAAAAGATATGTATTACAAGTTGAAAGACATTCGTTTGATGACCATATACAGTTTATTGAAACTAACAGGCCCAACATTGGTCTCCGTAAAATTGCCACGGTTTAAAATAACGACGAATTTGGTAAATATACCTGAATTATTATATGATATGGGTGTTAAGAGAGTATTTTACCCGAATTTGGCTGATTTAAGCGGGATAAGTGATCATGCGACGCATGCTTCAATAATGACTCAAATAGCTGATATAGAAATAACAGAAAAAGGAGCCAATGCCAGTTCTATGGCTGAGTTTCTCATATCCAATCCGTACACAAAAGAAGAATTTGTCGCAAATCGTCCTTTTGCTTATTTAATAGTTGATAAGAAAACTGATATCATTTTATTCGCTGGTATGTACAGTAATCCGTCTATTTATTAAACTTAAACAAATACAATGACTTTCATTTATTTAATACGAAAAACTGTTCATGTTTATTAGTAATCATAACAATCAAATATACAGTACTTACAATTTTTTTATAAATTAATAAAAGAATATTAAAACAAATTTAATAAGTTCGTTGAGCTAGGAAAGTACCAGCTCTGGTGTCACCGGTAATATCTACCAGGCGCCAACTTAAAGGCTAACTAATATAATATATTATAAAAGAATTTCTATGAAACAAATGCAGGACAATTATTTTATATCTATTTTCTACAGTGTTTTGATAATAAACAAAATAATAATATACAGTATTACAATTATTATGAATGATGAATGAAACCACTATTCTATTTATTAAAGCAGTATAAAAAACAATACTCAGAATTTGTATCTAGAGTTAACATATTTATAGAATTAGTTGCTATATAATTTAATACGGAATTAAATTATACATATATAACAGAGCAGTGTTGGCCTAGTGGCTTCAGCGTGCGTCTCTTATCCTTGAGGTCGTAGGTTCGATTCCCAGCTGTGCACCAATGTACTTTCTGTCTATATGCGCATTTAATATTCGCTCAAACGCTGAAGGAAAACCTCTTATATCTATTTTCTACAGTGTTTTGATAATAAACAAAATAATAATATACAGTATTACAATTATGAATGATGAATGAAACCAGTATTCTATTTATTAAAGCAGTATAAAAAACAATACTCAGAATTTGTATCTAGAGTTAACATATTTATAGAATTAGTTGCTATATAATTTAATATGGAATTAAATTATAGATACATATATAACAGAGCAGTGTTGGCCTAGTGGCTTCAGCGTGCGTCTCTTATCCTTGAGGTCGTAGGTTCGATTCCCAGCTGTGCACCAATGTACTTTCTGTCTATATGCGCATTTAATGTTCGCTCAAACGCTGAAGGAAAACCTCGTGAAGAAACCGGTTTGCCTTAGACGTCAGGCACACTATTGCCTATTACATTGACAAATGACCATGAAACAGATATAGAAATCTGAGGTCCAGACCTAAAACTGTCTTAGCGCCACTGGTTTATTTTATATATAATAATAATGAACCTTTTTCTAGCACCAATGACAGTTTTGAAATATCAAAAAGTTATAACCACTTACATTATTTTACTATTCTACTAAAAATGCCTAGCCTCACTAACGTTTATTACGAGATTTATAGTAATACAACATTTTAATATTACTAAAACTAAGATGCAAGAAATACAAATCAATATAACAATTAACATTATAAAATAAATCCCAGGTTATCGCCTCCGTGGTCTACGCATATTATGGAGTATAAGTTACTCTCCTCGAAAAAATCCTGTATTGGGCCATGGGGTAGACACATATTATTTAAGTATAAAGAACTTCAAATAAATTACAATTATTTATAAAACTAAATAATAATGTTAGATTTATATTTCTTAACATTTGCGATATCGCAAAAAATCCTCTCAAGAAACGAGAGTTATAATAATAATAATTCTTTATTTTCTCCCATATAACATTTGAAACAAATAATTATAATATAATTGCATATGTTTACATAAATTCAACGGGAGTGTAAATATTTTGAACTCTGGTTTAATTTTGTACCTTAATGTACGCCTCTTCATTTCTCTCGATCATAGATCGCTTAAACCAACTCCAAGGTTGAGTTCTTGGAGAAAATATTAATATGCACTTCTACATATCAGCAAGGCAATATCTATGCTATCATTTTTTATTTGAGTTGTATTATTGAAGTGAAACTTCTTTATCGACGTTGGAAAAAAAATTACGTACGCGTTCGCGTCACATTTTTCCGTTACGCGTCATCTTTTTCTTGTCCGGCGATTTCGGATCCAATTTATTGATTAGTTGCAAGATTTGTTGTTTGTGAAGTTTGCCTACCTCTGAAAACTAACTTCAGGTTTACCGCAACGTACTGTTATTTATATTGGATAATTTTTACACGTTATATTTTATAAATATTGCAGTATTTAATTTAGTTATAAATAGAAATTATGCTTTTAATTCATTATTATTTATGTCAAAAACCGTATTGTGCGTTCATAAAATATATACAATTTATATTAAAAAGAACAAAAATATATACTAACGATAACAATGATAGTAAATTCTATTACAATTAATGAAATTCTGTAATAATCTTAGTAGTAATAAGGTAAAATTAAATAATTGTATTATTTGTTTTCATGTCTATCATAATAAAAGCCTTTTGTTAAACTTTATCTAATTTAACTTTATTTAACCAGTTTCTGTATAGTTGCATATAGTAGATCATTTTTCGAAAAATAAGGTCGTAAAGAGGTTTCACTTCTTACGTGTGTACACTAACACGCACACATTTTTTTTGAGTTGTATTATTTATAATACTATAATCTGTGGTGCTATTTAGATCACTACTACTACTATTAATTGTTAATAATACTACTATCCAATTCAGTCTTTTGTGTCACTGAGAAACTTGAGTTCCCATCAATATCTGAAAAACTTCAAGTAGTTATTTATCACTATAACTACTTGAAGTTTACTATTTTAGACATGTAATCCAATTTTTCAATAGATTATAAAATTAATTTCATAAAAAACTTCACGTCTATACACGTGTCCCATGCATCTTCTCAGCCAAAGCGAGACTCGCTTATATATTAAGCACAGTTATAAAACCTACCAACGTAAACTATTTTTTTTAAATTTTGGAACGCAAATGAGAGTTTTATGAGCTTACCAAATAAACCTTAACCTATGATATGTAACACGTCATCAAGGTTATCTCGTTTTATTTGGTCTTCGCCCACTGGGGTACTACCAGAATATACAATTTGTGTTATCTATTTTCTTGAAATTAAATAATATTTTTCTATGAATAATAACCATTGACCCTAGTTTATTAGATTGTGTCAGTGGTATATATAGTTCAGTTCTTTCAGTAGAGTTATTGCTGTTAGACGCTTCAACTACAATAGTGTGTCAGTGTTTGAAGAATGATGTTCATATTTTTTTTGGGTATTTTATGCCCTGTGCTCAGTTATGGAGGTCAATTCCATTGCAGTCAAGACTCTGCCTTGGTTAGCTTTAAGCGCCCGACCTATGACTTCTCGGTTGGCATATTAGATCGTGTCTCACAGCAAACTGATGGCCATTTCGTTTTTTCTCTATATCGACATGGCTACAGTTAATGACGCTTGCCGAAGGTGCAAAAGGGCCTACAGAATATGAATTATGGAAGGTAGCAAGATATCACAGAGTGAAATGCTTCCGTAGAAAATATCGAGAAATCCTTAATTTAATGGATGACAAACTAATGCCAATGACAAAAAGATCCAGTACCATTGTAGTAAATAAATTGTTAGATGTAAAAAAAACATTTATAAATGAAGTGATAAAAAGTAGGGAAACAAAAGTGCTTTTGCTAGACTTTGCTGATCCAGCAGGTTCAGCTGCGAAGGTTAACAATATTATTAAAACAAATATAGATGGAGTTATTGAGGAGGGATTATATCAAGATGATTTTAATTTAACTGTGTTGTTATTAGCCGACACAGCCTACTTTAGAAGTGACTGGCAGGCACCATTCAACCCAGTATACACGTCAAAGGAAACATTCTACTCGGAAGAAAATGTACCTATAGGTGACGTTAAACTGATGACTCAAATTGGATACTTCAACGTAACTGATGTCCCATATGTGAATGCTAGGATCTTGGAACTACCTTTTAGCTCAGAAGGCAGAGTATCAATGTTAATACTACTACCAAAGGTGGGGTTGGTAAAAGATTTGTACTACAAGTTGAAAGACATTCGATTGATGACCATATACAGTTTATTTAAACAAAGAGGCCCAACATTGGTGTACGTAAAATTGCCACGGTTTAAAATAACGACAAATTTGGTAAATATACCTGAATTAATTTATGATATGGGTGTTAAGAGAGTTTTTTACCCGAATTTGGCTGATTTAAGCGGGATAAGTGATTATACGATGCATGCTTCAATAATGACTCAAATAGCTGATATAGAAATAACAGAAAAAGGAGTCAATGCCAGTTCTATGCCTGAGTTTCTCATATCCAATCCGTACACAAAAGAAGAATTTGTTGCAAATCGTCCTTTTGCTTATTTAATAGTTGATAAGAAAACTGATATTATTTTATTCGCTGGTATGTACAGTAATCCGTCTATTTATTAAACTTAAACAAATACTAATATGGTTTTCATTTTTTTTAATACAAAAAACTGTTAATGTTTATTAGTTATCATTAAAATATACAGTATTTACAATTTTCTTAACCTTACATAGTAATAAAAACTAATAAAACGAATATTAAAACAAATTTAAAAAGTTCGTTGAGCGAGGAAAGCACCGGCTCTGGTGTCACCGGTACTACCAGGCGCCAACATTAAACGCTAACTAATACATATAATATATTATTATAACTTTATATTTAATACATAATGGACTTAGAATTAATATCACAATAGTAGCCTCAGCGTATAAAAGAATTTCTATGAAAATTTGTTTTGCAGGTCAATTATTTAATACCTATTTTCTACAGTGTTTTGATAGTGAACAAAATAATAATATACAGTATAACAATTATGAATGATGAATAAGTATTCTATTTATTAAAGGAGTATAAATAGCAATACTCAGAATTTGTATATAGCGCTAACATATTTATAGAAGTTACTATATAGTTATTGTATAATTTAATATGGAATTAAATGATACATAATATGTAACAGAGCAGTGTTGGCCTAGTGGCTTTAGCGTGCGTCTCATATCCTTGAGGTCGTAGGTACAGAAATCCTTGCGATTCTGAAACTCACTTTTCGAACTCGCACAGCGGTTTACACAGCGGCGGTCGCGCTCAAATCAGTCGTGAATCAGTCATTTTACGATATAGCAGATTTTTCTGATAAATAATAAACTACAAGGGTTACCTAATCAGAGTGCCAAATCATAAAAAGACTGCTTCAGAATCGCAAGGCTGTTGTAGCACCACTGGTATATTTTATAACAATAATGAACCTTTTTCTAGCACTAATGACACTTGTGAAATATCAAAAAGTTTCAACCACTTTAACATTATTTTACTATTCTACTAAAAATTCCTAGCCTCACTAACCTTTATTGCGAGAATTATAGTAATACAATATTTTATTGTTACTAAAAGTACGATACAAGAAATACAAATCAATATAACAATTAACAATATAAAATAAGTCCCAGGTTTTCACCTCCGTGGTCTACGCATATGAAGTATAAGTTACTATCCTCGAAAAATCCTGTATTGGGCCATGGGGTAAACACATATTATTTAAGTTTAAAGACCTTTGATAATAATTCTTTATTTTCTCCCATATAACATTTGAAACAAACATGTTAACATGAATTCAACGGGAGTGAAAATATTTAAACTCTGGTTTAATTTTGTACCGGACAATAGTCCGCCTCTTCATTTATTCTCGATCATAGATCGTTTAAACCAACTCCAAGGTTGGGTTCTTGCAGAAAATATTAATATGCTCTTATACATATCATTGAAATGCAAATATCATAATAAGCACAGGTACAGCAAGTACGCACACAAGGTAGACCGAAGTCCGGGGCTCACATTCTGATATTATCACGAATTGTTCGTTCCAAAGGGAGTCATTGTTTCGAAGGGGCAGCTCAAGGACTACCTGGAAATTACCAAACAATCATTGTTCATAATATTAAAATTATTATGAACAATGACAAATTCATAATTGGTACTGATAAGGTACCAACAACTTATTTGACTAATGTAAAGGACTACGTGGAAGATAATCATATATGAAAACTTATAAAACGTATGAAAACTGTACTTAATTGACGTGAGCTTTATTAAAATAAAATGGACATAAACGCCAATAATTGGCTCAGCGCGGCGTGGCGAATGCTTTGAAAGCTTGATACGTCTACGAATACGGTAAAGAACTTCTTAATAATGTATGTAACAAAATTTTACCTTTTGTGAGGAAAATATATCAAGTGGAAGATCACATCTATCAGTCTTATTCCTGCACTCCCTGAGCGTGGTCCTGGCGACATCATATCTGGTCTTCTGAAGGTCGAAACGAGCTTTGATGAAGTTTTTTTGGACTTCATTCTCTGAATTAAATACGAAGAAGTAATAGCCGTTTGCTGGGACTCTGGAATATTAGATTATTGACTTAATTGCATTATACAAATGTATACATATATTTAGAGATTTATAATTTATATGAAAGAAGGCGATGAAAACGGTGCTACGTGCTACGGATTAAATTATATTTTCAGGAAGCTCATCTTAGGCCGTTTTGCTTATAAATAGTGAACTGTCACGGGTGTTACTCGTGGTGACTGGTAGGACTTGAAGTTGTATATGCAGTGATGTTAGTTACGAGTATTTCGACTATGTATTTGCGTGTTGTTCCCACGACATTGTAAGTGCGTTCTCCTATTTCACCATGCCTTTGCTAACAAAAACAAAACTGGAAAACAAAAAACTTGGCGACTAAACAGAGTGGCGGAGAGTTTATTGCCAGTTCTTCTTGTCCATTCTACACCCTACGTTCTACATCTAGGAGACGTAATAGGTTTATAAAAATAAACGTACCTGTAAGTCAGCGCATTAGCCCTAGCTGCGACTAATGTGTCAGCTCCATCATGGCACTCACGATGAGGTGTTAGTGGAAGATTAAGAATCAGACCTTCACATTCCAATAAAGCTTCTTCACTACTGGAGAATGAGGACCAAAATTCCGAATTGGACATGTCAAATGGAGTCGTTTCGTTCACTGTCTGATGATGCTCTGCGTAGCCATCTGGGGACAAACCCTGTAACGCGAAATGCTAAGTGAAAATTTTGCAGTCGTCATTGATATTCAAGTTAGGCTTCATATCTCTAAGGATTTGGAATAATAGTCCTTCTGGCCCTGAAGAGTGCATGCTAAGCAAAAACTCATTTGAGTGTGAGCTTCGTCTAATTATAGACATACAATTTCTTATCTCTGTGACCTGGGCTCCATTCCTATATAATGACAAAAGAAGAAGTATTATAATTGGACCACAAGCCCATGAACAAAAAATACCTGTGAAATGACCCAACGTGAATTACGTTTAGAAGGCTGTTACTATATCTGAAAATAACTCTGAGCACTATGCCGTCATTTCTGACCGGTACATGTGAGTACGTGAGTGAATGGAATTTATCAGATACGAAGGAGGAATTTCGACTAATTATTAATGTACGGCTTTGTTATAAGTGTATAGATGATTAAAAATAAATGTCGAAAAACCTAGTGCCGTACTAAAGTGATGGTGCCGGAAGTCAGTGCAAATTTTAATTCGACGATAGTTGCAGAAGCAATATAGGTCATTTATTACTGTACGGCATTTGTGTAATTCCTTTTGGACACATATACAGATACTTTACCCGTAAACGCCGTACATATTTCCAGCGGAGCGGTCGAAAGCCAAGGGTCGCAACCCTACCCCTACACCCATATACCCTAAGGTCATTGTAAAATGTACGGCAACATGTTCAAAATATTATTTAACACGGACAATAATGTTTTATAATTATGCCGTCCAAAAATTATAGTTAATATTTGTGTAAATAAATATTTATCGAAATTTCAGGATTTACCGAGCTCTTACTGCTGTAAGATCAGAGAATAATGTACGGCAACTTGTTTTTTTACATAATGTTACTAAATATTACCTTTGTACCTTATAGCCGTTCATTACAAATGGTAACAAATAAAAATATTATGATAAAAAATATATGAAATTTCCGAAATTTAGATGATTTTTCAAATATTCCTAGAGTAATATGAGGAGTAATATTTTCAAAGATTATTGTTATTTTATATGTAACAAATATAAATAAACAAAAAAAACCAGATGCCATACATTTTACTCCAGATTATTCTTTACAGCTGATAAAAACTTCGACGACGTTTGAGGTGTCCCTTAAGGTCATTAATAACTGTAATTATCTGAGTATACTACCATAAGGCTGTAAAGTATATTTACAGCCTTATCATACCAGCAAAGAGAGGTAAAGGAAAAATATTTTTAACAAAAATAAAAATATAATACAGGGCGTCCCAAAGTTATAGGATATGAAGGGAGAGTACCTTTAATATCGTAGATAGGGTATTTTACTGAAAGAAGACTTTATGTTATTTTTAAAAGTTAGTAATTCTGCATTCAAAGATTTTGTAAAAATTACTTGCCTCTTCTGGAAATCGAACCGGCTTAAATGTAAAATAAAACACCCCTACTTTTATGATGCCAATAACTTTCTAAAGTAACAGACTCGTAGGGGATTTTTTTAGGCCGAATACGATAGATAATGTTTTTAATTTGATTAAAAAGATATATTCATGCAGTTCCTTTCTTTTAAAATACTATGTTACTTTAGAAAAGTTATTAGGTTTTGGCCATTCTTTCGATTGGCATCATAAAAGTAGGGGTGTTTTATTTTACATTTAAGCCGGTTCGATTCTCAGACGAGGCAAGTAATTTTTACAAAATCTTTGAATGCAGAATTACTCACTTTTAAAAATAACATAAAGTCTTCTTTTAGTAAAATACCCTATCTACGATATTTAAGGTACTTTCCCTTCATGTCCCATAACTTTGGGACGCCTTGTATTGGTAGGCGGTGGTATAATCTGCCATTTCATAGACTAGCGGACTATCGAAAGTGTACGGCACTTATCTTTTATTGAAGATTGTCTAAAGTACTAATAACCTGTGTTACTGCCGTACAGATAAAAGTCACCGGAAAATGACTCTTTTCAGAGTGAAGTAATTTACCCCATACACCTATGTGTTCCACGAAAAATGTACGGCATCCTGGAAAATATTATCTATTTGTGAAGTACTCTCAAGATCATTTAATTTTATGTTGTTCTATATCATCATCACCTATATGCTAATCAGACATATGTTGCGACCCTTGGCTTTCGACCGCTCCGCTGGAAATATGTACGGCGTTTACGGGTAAAGTATCTGTATATGTGTCCAAAAGGAATTACACAAATGCCGTACAGGAATAAATTACCTATATTGCTTCTGCAACTATCGTCGAATTAAAAATTTGCACCGACTTCCGGCACCATCACTTTAGTACGGCACTAGGTTTTTCGACATTTATTTTTAATCATCTATACACTTATAACAAAGCCGTACATTAATAATTAGTCGAAATTCCTCCTTCGTATCTGAGAAATTCCATTCACTCACGTACTCACATGTACCGCTCAGAAATGACGGCATAGTGCTCAGAGTTATTTTCAGATATAGTAACAGCCTTCTAAACGTAATTCACGTTGGGTCATTTCACAGGTATTTTTTGTTCATGGGCTTGTGGTCTAAATATATTATGAAATTTATTTAGTCCCTCTAAAGTATAAACCATAAAATATAAATAGATAGATAGATAGAAATATGGATAAATATATTTGTGTGTGTATTAAGAAGACTTAAGTATAAGGATAAGAAATTTAGGTACCTCCTCAGCAGCATAGTCCCTAGCTTCATCGTCTGCATTGAACTGCTGGGTAAGTTCTATATGGCCCAGCATCAGCTGGCGTTTAGTTCTTGCGTCTTCACGAGCGACACGACGTTTTTCTGGAATTTTAGATTATTTATTTGATCTGATTAATATATGCTGTAGAATATTTTCAAAAAAAAAGGATAATGTAACCCAAGCTGTGAAAAAAATATCAATAAAACTCCCTATATTGAGTATGATGCAGAAACTATTGACAATAGAACAAAGTGTAAAATGTACCTACAGTTTATAATATTCACTTTTATGGTTTGATTTTAGATAATAGCTATTTATAAGTTTAATAATATTGTAAGTTACAATCAATACAATTAGCTAATTAATAAATATTTAAGAAAAATTTAAAGAAAATATAATTACAATATCTGTAAAATATAGCTATGAGGGATACATATAACGATAATAACCTTTAAAAAATATAATATAATATAATAAGGGTCTGTTTCACAATGTATGGATAAAGTACCAAATAGCTATGCAACACATAAATTAATTATTTGGAAGATACTTAAATTGTGCTATTTGACATTCATCGGACTCATAACTTATGGTCGACTATATGTGACGAATAGCGCTATCTGACAGTCGTGAAACGCAACAATAGTGTTTATCCTACCAATAAGTAATAAATAGCTAATTTGGAACTTATGTAGAACTTATCGATACATTGTGAAACAGACCCTAACTAAAATATATTATTAAAAGGAGTCAGTTTTATAGAAGACATCAATTATACAATTTAAAGGAGACAATGTATGGTAGGTATCAAATACTCTCAAAAGCTACTGGACCGATTTGGAAAATTATTTTACCATTAGAATTCCATAATATACATGAGTAATGTCTTATTTATATGCAAAATATTCGAAATACCAGCCGTGCGTATCCGAACTAGAACGCAACTATGTAATATAATTTAAGACCATTAAAAAGTTTTATTCAATATTAATTAAATAACAACAAAAGTCCCACTAAATTTGATTAAATCTTTAGTACTGGAAATATGGGTTATTTCCTATGCTAGTGAAACTAAATAAAGTTTCCGTGAATTAGAGGAAGATATTAACTTAATCGAAAGCTAGAGAGATAAAAGATTATACATAAATCCAACCCTGTCTTTGAGGTCTGGTCTTCTCCTCATCGATGGCTTCTACCAGCACCTTCCGGAGACGTTCTAGTTCTTCGTCACTTCCTCTCACCGCTGACATCACTTGAGTCACGTCTGGCGTATCCTGATAATGTTTATAGATATTGTCAAAGTGGACAAACATTATAAATATGTACTATGATTTGCTTATAATTTTATATCTATAACATTTAGCGCCTTCAATCAATAAGGGCAAAGCTTGACCATAGTGCTATATAGGTATGTATAATTTTATTTACAATTTTCTTAACCTATAAAGTACTAATAAAAATAATTAAAAAGAAAATTAAAACAAATTAAAAATGTTGGGTCCTGTGGTAGTGAAAATATATATATTTTTATATTTATTTTCAAGTTAAGTCGAATATGTGCGAAGTGTTCTTTATTCACTATTATCTTTGTCAGTAACGTTATAATTCAATATCAGAAAAAAGCAATGAAATTCCACCCCCATTCTAACACCTTCATTTAAAATTTGTGTAAATTTTCTATATTCTCTCGAAGATCGTTACAACTGTTGGTAAAAACACTTAAACGACATATAATTATAACAAAAAAGGGATACAAGTAATACTAACTAATCATACCTTATCTTTATATCCTACTCCCATACTTTCGTGTAGCCTCACGAGAACTCTCTTTCCCCTATCTCCAAGCGCTTGAAGACGATTTAGAACTTCGAGAAACACTTCCTTCGAGCTCTCTGCGTCATTCTAAAACACATACAATATTCAATATTGTGATCTTAAAACGTCCATGTCAAAAGATATAAAACTACTTTATTAATATTTTGCAAAATTAACAAAAAATATTGACTAAAATTCTAAGAAACTTGTATTCTGATTTCTGTGTACAAATAAAACGAGTCAATAAATCATACAACAAAAAATAAAATATCCAAATTGCTTAAAAATTCATTAATTCTGTGACTTAAATCGTACGATTTCATTGACAAGGACCAGAAACCTTTGTTTAATGGAACATTTAGAACATTATAAATCGTTATTGTAAACTTTCGTCTTAAGTTGGCTTAAAAAATTAAAATGCGATTTACTAAAAGATTATGCACATTACTTTACTTGAAATAAAATTGTCACTATCATACCTTGATAAAACAATTAGTATAATTAGCTTACATTGTCATTGCCTTTAAATAAACAAATCTTTAAAACCTTCCACACACTTACCTCGGATTCTTTTTGTTTATCGTTCATTTTATCTACATCATTTGATATTTCTTTAGAATTATTAACTTTCATAGTTTCGGTATCTATGCTATCATTTTTTATTTGAGTTGTATTATTTATAATACTATAATCTGCGGTGCTATTTAGATTACTATTAACGTGTGAACTGTTAATAATATTAATATCTAATTCAGTCTTTTCTGTCGCTGAGATACTTGAGTTCCCATCAATATCTGAAAACATCCAAGGAGTTATATAAATTAGGAACGTAATTCAATTTCTCAATAGGTTACAAAATTAATTTCGTAAAAACATTCACGGCTACAAATGTCCCATGGGACACATGTATATTCTTAGAAGATACATGTATATTCTCAGCCAAAGCGAGACTGTTTAGAAAACCTATAAACGTTAACAAATTTTGATGAATTGTTGGACGTAAATAGGACCTTTGAACATTGAAGGCTAATTCTATTACCTAAAAGCGAAAAGTAAAATAAATAAATATGACATTTACCACATACAATAAACAGAGCAATTAAACTAATATATATTATTATTAGAAGCCTTACTTACGTTATCACACAATAAAGCTTTGACATAATTAACAAATGACGGTCATAAACACAATAGGCATTATTTGTTATCTGTCGTTGCGATGAAAGGATTCGTTTGCACAGTGATAGTTGTTTCGCGCGCACTTTCCATGCTTCTATTTACAAGTACAATAGATATACTGTATCTGCTTATTTTAGAGAAATTTAATTCACTACGTCAGCGCAAACGCAGCAATATTATGTAGAAATGAGTTTCAGGTCTGTTGGAACTCTTATTTTATACGATACCTTTAAAAGAGATCCATTGTCTTTCATCCTTATCTACATTGGTGTCTCTATGACGATGTAAGCTAGGTAGAGACATAAGGTGTGGTGGTGGACGATAGTGTTTTAGCTCTTCGTTCTTTGCCGCCTGACGTAGTGCATGTAGGTGCTCCAGTATTGCTCGTAATTCCTGTTAAAATTTATCGGTGTTTTCTTTAAATACCTATTATCAAATCAGAAAATCAGGAAAAAAGAAAAAAGCATTTTGGTTCTATGTCTTAACTGATTTTAGAAATACCTAGACTTGATGTGAATGCTGTGAATTTTCGAATCATAATAAATACAGAATTCGAACTATAAATATGAGCATAGATGGATATCATCAGATAAATGAATATCAAATATATGTCTTTGAACTGAGACAAAAGTGTGAAAGTAGAACCGCAAATATTTTGAAGAATAGCCTTTATATACTCACTTTAGGATCGTGGTCAGTAACATCAATGTCTGGGACCTCTGCAGATGATGTAACGTTACTGACGTGGGAAGGATCGTGAAAACTCACACCAGCCTTGTGGCGCTTCATTGCTTCTGTATGCGCATAGATATATGAATTAAAAGTAGTTTGACATCAAGGTTTACGAGCTAGCTTAAAGTGGTAAAACTTAAGACTACTAACAACGACAACTTCTAAATTGCCTTTCAAAGTAACAAATAAAGAAGAATTTAAGTGCAAGCCTAACAATCTGTCTGTAAAATAACCAAAGAAATTACCAGGATCATTAGCTTTTCCATCTTCTTTTTTCAGCTGCATAATCTTTTCCCAGAGCGTGGCATTGTTCATGAGGCCTAGCTGGTGTGCTTCTAGTAGTTCGTCCAGTTCTTCAGACGAGTCGTCGCCAATGTACGCGCACTCCTGCAGGTGTTTGTAGCCTTTTATCATTATTAGTGATGCACCTGGCCATCTAGAATATTATCAGGAGATTCTATAAGTTTAATAGAGTATGTTTTCTCATAATGTTAACTGCCAAAATTTGCCTCACTTATTAATATAAGATTTTATGACGGGAATTTAGACGTGGCTACATGACTGCAGCTTGTAGTCAATAGTTTTCACCTTAGGGTAAAAATATAAAATGCATATAGCTTCCTTATGATACGCACATAACCATATCACCACCTGATTATAGAAAATTTGAAATATATTTCTGTTAAAGAAGCGAAGAAATTAAACGAAGTGCAGTTAATAGACAACACATTGAAATGTATTAAATTGAAATTAATTTACTTATTTAATTATTAATTATCAATTTACTAAATTAATTATTTAATTTACTTAGATTTATCGTCTTCTGAGATCGGACTAATTAGTGCCTTGAATTTATACCTGCAACAGGCTGATACAGTCACAGTAGATCCCTTCAGTAGGTAAAAGCCCCAGTACTCCTTCATATCATCCTCCAGTTCAAGCTGTCGTGTCATTGAGACAGGAACTAAGTCTTCAGTCAACTCTGGAAAATCTGGGACTACGAACGCGTTGAATGTAGCATTAGATTTTACTACTTGTGTCTGTAAAACAACCATCAGTCATAACATTTTCTGGCTTACCGTTTCGTTACTTTAATAAGAGATTTGGTTTGGATTATGTAGTCAAAGTACTACCAAGTGTTAGTACTATAAACTATCGGCGCTCAACATTTTAGGTCTGGGATTCGGATTTGTGTATTTGTTTCATCATCATTTGTTACTCTAATGGGCAAGTAGGTGATCAGCCTTCTGTATCTGACATACGCCGTCAAAGGTCAGTTTCCTCACGATGTTTTCCTTCACCGTACGAGCGAGTATTAAATGCGCATATATAGACAGAAAGTCCATTGATGTACAGCCGAGGATAGAAACTGCGACCTCAGGGATGAGAGTCACATGCTGAAGCCACTGGGCCAACACTGTTATGGAAATAACTATATCGAAATTGGATCACGTCATAGCTAATCATTGAAAATGGCATTTATTAGAGAGTGGACGGTATGGAATGAAAGGAAGGTTTTCGATGAAATACTCTGTCACAATAAGATATAATACGAAAAAACAACTAAATACAAAACTCAAAACAATGATAGTTAAGCACCGTATGACCTGTGTTCTTACTTCTACCGTGGGTTATCATTACACTAACCAATTATGTAGGTACTTAGAATAAGATTAAAAAACAAGAATTGGCGCAAACATGACTCTTGTATGTAAAAAACCAGTACATTTTTGACAAAAATTATTTCTGTTTTATATATTAGTTAAAAAAATCAGTAGCAAATAATAATAATTGAAAACTAAAAAAAATTTTACTGCGTATTGTTAAGTATTATGAGGTTTGAGAAATTGAAAATAAGACCGTTGTGTGAAAACAAACGACAGATGAAAAATAATTCCGCCTCGAGAAATGAGGTTGAGCTGCTATTTCTCGCCTAACAACCTAATGTAAGCCCACTTATAGATAATAACATCGAGTAGCAGTAATCGTTCTATACATAAATCAATATATCTACACATGTCCAGACACATTTACGTATACAAAGATAAGATTATGGTTAAAATATATTATTTGCTTAACAACGCCTAATTTAAAACCCCATCTTTTTATATCTGTTAACACAAATAAAAAACTATACCGAGTTGAACAATTAATAATTTAAAATAAATTTAAAATTTTGTTATTATATAAAAAACAAGTAATACCTATTTCCAGACTTTAACTCCAATTAACTTTGTATCGCTTTCATTTGCCTTGTCACACAATTGATGTAGTCAACTCAAGTGACGACGGACTACGGAGACATGATATAAAAAAAAACATGCACGCTACAAATTCTTATTAAAAGGCTTATTATAACAAACAAACTGGCATTTTCTTTTTGAGTGAGAAAAGTTAAGATAATAAAAAAGTGTTTCTCTAAACCATCTTATTAATATTATAATAATATAATTAATCTATATATATAAAAGAAAAATGGTCTTCGTTTGAGGCTCCTTCACGCCTAAACCACTGATCGTATCGACATGAAACTACCACCATTCGATGCGAAATTTTTCCTAGATGGCTATTTATTTATTAAATTCCAACGTTTTTTTATTGCTGTTTTACTTTTATGAAAATTTATCCATACGGACTTCACCGCGGAAACATTCGGGGAGGCTTCCTAGAACCTCTAAACGTCAACATCTGTTAAAAACGCGATTTGCGAAATATTTCAATTTTCTTAGCGGGAAGTTAAAAAGAAGAATAATGAAAATATGAAAAAAAAAAATAATGAAACATAAAATTTATTTTAATTCGTCCAGCAAAGCGGGCGCGAAACGGCTAGTACTGATATATTTTTATCCTAATATATACAAATCTTACAGATTAATGAGTAATTGAATTCTACGACTACTAGAGATGAAGCGTCCTATCATTAACATAAATTTAGGACAATAAAGGCTGTGCATATTTTAAGTGCCCTAGGATATTTTTTGTAGTAGTTTGTACAACAAATATCTTTTTACTTCTTAGATTAAGGATATATTCATCTGAGAATAATGAAGAGACGCTTAGGTAATCGGAATTATTCAATTCTCTACCAGTCTTAATATCAGAATCAGTTGTTCATATACATTTCCTTTAGGAACTGTATTTCAAATAAGCTTCGATACCCCCTTATCTTTTATGACCTGGTCAAAGTTTATTGAATAAATGTCTGGTTAAAATTAGTATAATTTCTATGCTTTGATAACTTATCAATACTTACACAATGCATTTCGATCAAAATGAGGACGACAACGTTTATTTATATGTCATGAACATATATTATTTCAACGTCCACTGATGATAGAGGCGATGAAATAATGAGCAATCGGGAAACAAATGAGCTGTTTAGGTATTAATATCTTGTTAATGCTAGTGTTAATTTTTGCGTCACGAGATTGTTTAAGAGCTAGAAATGAAATTGTATACAAGGGATACTAATTGTAAACAGAATACGTTTTTGATAAGCGGGCGTCAAATTAAGACTTGTGATTTGTGAATGAGGAAATTATGAAAGAAGAGTATAATTTACAGACCTACCTGGCACCAAGTAGGTGATATCTTGCCATCAATGAGCCGCATATCTGTCATACTCATAGGATACATTTGGCCGGAGAAGACACGATACCTGTAAATAAAAATCTGTTAAACACCACGACTTACTTGTTTTAGTAGTTTAAAATCGCAAAATATGCCATTTTGTGTATATCCGGCGACCTATGTGTTGAACGTATGAGGGTTAAATTGTGATTTTAAAATTTTAATTTTTTATTGGATAATACTTATGTAATATAACATATTTTTAGTTAAAATTTAGCCTTAAGCGGGCCATAGACGGACCGCATGCTGCAGCCGATACAGACTGCTCTAAGCGGTCGCCGCACGGCGATCTGCAGTTTCCATACTAAATTCATATTCGCAATACACGGAACGCTCGAGCAGTTCCTGAGCAAACCGCATGTTGCAGTCGGTATTGACTGCAATATGCGGTCTGTGTATGGCCCGCTTTACAAACGAATAAATAAATACTAAGGTATTCTAAGCTACGCCACGCTTCTAAGCGTAGAGGCATTTTATTATTTCTATGGATTTTCAGGAATCTTGATGTAGTTGGAGAACCCATCCTATTTCGTTTCACAACCCTCGAACGATACCTCAACAAGGATCACCCTTTGTAACGTTAAAGTTGGGCAAATATTTTTACGCTTAATATGGTTTAAAATATGAACGATTTTTTTTAACAAAAATTATAAACACATTTCAAAATGAAATAAAATGTATTTCTATATTCCTTATTTTTATTCATTAGTTTTGTGTTACCAAGATAATAAAATGTTAATAAAATACTTAACACTATTTTTAAAGAAAACAAAAAGACGCCTCGAAGCTTATGAGATGTGGAGTTACCGTCGCATGCTTTGCATCAGCTGCATCCAGAGAGTGACGAATGAAGTGCTTCAACGAATTGGGATGACACGACAGTTTATGCAGACTGTTAATATACTGAAAGTCGCATATCTCCGACACGACTTGTTGCAGCTCTTATTGATATATAAAAGATGAGCAAGGCAAGAGACGGGCTGGTATAAAAAAGAAGTCGTGGTTGCAGAACGTAAGGGAGTAGACCGGCATCTCATCCGCCGAGGAACTTTTAAGTCTAGCGCAAGTTACCCAACAATTCAAGTTGTGAATACTCAACATTTAACAATAAAGTGGCAACAGAAGAAGAACACTAGTATTCGCTCATCTAGATTGGTCCATGGCGCAGCTGTGATTGATTCACAAAAAATTACACATCAAAATATCCTCCTTTTTTGAAGTCGGTTAAAAATACCGACATCCAGTGGCCATGAGATAAGAATAATAACACAAAATTACACACAATATCGCTTGACCTTTGCCATTGATTTTCTGTCATAAATTATCTCCACTAACACTATACAAGATAAACGTATACCAAATAGGGTTAGGCCTTTTGGTATCTATAAAATAATATCAGTTCCAGCTAATAAAATATATAATATGATAGTTAGGCCATGTCTCGTGCGATGCATCATTAGCGCTACAACCTTTTTAGGCCTAGACCTACGATTTCTGTATATGTTTCATGATCATTTGTCAAACTAATAGGCAAGTAGGTGATCAGCCTCCTGTGCCTGACACACGCCGGCGACGTTTTGAGTCTAAAGTAAGCCGGTTTCCTCACGATGATTTCCTTCACCATTCGAGCGCGCGTTAAATGCGCACGTAGAAGGAAAGTCCAATGGTGCACAGCCGGAGATCTAACCTACGACCTCAGAGATGAGAGTCGCCACGCTGAAGCTACTCGGCCAACACTGCTCTAATGACGATACATACGAAAACAATTTTATACCTGAAGGCCCTATACATAAAGAATATGTGAAGTTTATTGCATGGCATGTAATAAACTCTGCTGTATATATAATTCCAATTAAAATATTTCATTAATGTAACTTACTTCATATATAGTGGAGTGAAGATACATATAGATGGGAGCACAATCATCAAAATGAGCAGCCTGCATAATCTTATGGGACCCTTGTAACAGGATCTATTGGGAACGCTTGCTTGTCGACCTGGTCTAGGTCTTGGCACCCCAGCTGGGTAATATAAAAAATAGTATCACGTCAAATTATTTAAACGGTTGGTACCTAGTTAATTAAAAATTATTGCAAATAGATGTTTAATAATGCGAAATAATAATAATGGAACTCATTTTAAAATTCTCTTTTTAAAGATATTGTCATGTGTTCAATGAAACTATACTTAACTTAGATAAATATAAAAACAATTAAAGTACAGTCAAAACCGTATACGACGACATCGTTTAGAACAACATACAGGTTATATTGACCAAAATCAAAGGTCCCGGCTGGATTCTATTGTAGTAGGTACATGCTTAATAACAACGTCATCGGCTGTTACGACTATCGGTTTTTATAACAGATTTTGACTGTACTTATTTTAAATTATTTATATATAAAATAAACAAGAAAAAAACGAATGATAGGCTCCGAATTCTTAACTCCCTCGGGAGAAATTTGAATTGAATAAATAAATAACAAATGTACTTTCTGATTTTGCTTACCTTCTAAAGGGACTAACTCTTGGTCCATCTTGATCACATCCCGATAAGTGTCGATAATAAGGCGGTCTCCTATGCGTAATCAGCAATTACGTTATGGTTTCAAACTTCTCCAGCTGAGGTTAAATTAATAAAATATTTAATTATTTCTCAAATATGTTGTTGCTTGTGGTTAACTGTAACAAGAAAATTTTTAAGTTATTTTGGGTTTTATGAAATAATTAAAATTCTCTAATTTAAATTTGTTTCAATAGAAATACTAACTAATATCGGAGACTAAAAGGCATTTGACTGACTACAAGAGTTATACAATTATATAGTTATCAGTTGTAGTACCTTTATCTTATTTTGCTATAATAATTATTAGGCGCGACTTCGTCATAAAATTGTGCGTATAATACTAATAAAACCTTTTTTCATGCAATATTTATATATTATGATGTTATCTGGTCGATTTCAACGAGAGTGATAACATAAAGCTAATCTTCTTAAAGAAACTGCTTAAAACCGTTTGATTGACGGCGGAAGTGTAACAAAGCCGCCACACTTACAAAACGATAAAAAAGTTTATTTATATGTAAGTTTTGCATGTTGCATGCTTAAGAATACAAGAAAATATAACGTTACAAATTTTACACACATCCTACACACCAATTCAAAGCAAATCTTATATTTTGGTAAATGCATCATAACATACATAATATAAAGATTTCCTCAAAATGTGTGGTTTAGTGACAGTATTTAGTTGCGGCTCTGGTTGGGGGAATTATCATTTTTTAAATGTACATAATCGAATAATTTAAATAACATTTCGTTCCGATTCGTTTTAACTTTTGTTTAATCCTTGGATAGGTACTTGTATTCTTTGAATTTTTTGCTTTTGCTTTTCAAAATTTTTATCGGCAATAACAATTATGTTATCAAATATGTAAATCAACATTTTTCCTTTATTAAAAAGCGTGCCTAATTGTATTTTCTATTGTTTAGTTACGATAACCCCGTGGCATACCTTATTTAACCCAAACTTCTGACTAAAAAGAAAACGCTTTATTACATATCGTTATCAATCGTACGATGGATGTATTGATCATGGTGTATCTATTTTTACTATATTTATGTAGTTGTACCTACTATCTTTAATATATTTTTTAAATAATCAGATAGCAGGACACGGCAAAAAATTAGACTGAGTCATTCACCGTCTTTAGGAAACTGGAAATAAAGAAAATACTATCATTTTTAATGACACATTTTTTCCTTACATATATTATCAATACTTACCCGTAAATGTAAACAATAGTATTGTCTTTGATTAACATAACTTTTATTCATTTAATAAAACACTATTTTGACCGGATTGAAGTTATGTATTATTATAAATTTACAACTATTTAACATAATTTTAAATTTATCCGACGTTTCGCGTGCTTTACAGCGTGCGTGGTCACGGTGGTTTGTCACCGTGACCACGAGACCACTTCAATCCGGTCAAAATAGTGTTTTATTAAATGTAAACAATAGTTGGTACTATTGATATTACTCATTGACTGACACGTTTTAAACTAAACTTTTCTCAAGGCCGTCTCTCAGAGGCGTCGATTGTATTATCACATTTAAAAAGAACAGTGCATTTAGTTAATGGTTGAAGCATAGGGCATTGTGCCTTATTCAGCTTCACATGTACCTAGAAGTTTCAACGAATTTGACTAAGGCTATCACATACATTTCGAAGTCTGCCTTGCGATTCTGTAACTCACTTTTCGAACTCTCACAGCGGTTTTATCAGAATGCCAAATCGTAAAAAGACTGCTTTACGACTGATTTGAGCGCGACCGCCGCCGTGAAAACCGCTGTGTGAGTCGAAAAGTGAGTTACAGAATCGCTAGGCTGGTCTGGTAATCATTAACATATAATGAAATGACTTTCATTACTAAATCATTATTATGTTAACAAATATTAATTACTCATTTCTACCTACTTGTATAAGTGCAATGTCCGCACTACAAACTGACATGATAAGATGTGTCAATATTTATATCCAATGCTCGTGTTGGCGATACATATAGATAATATCCACATAAATCATGTATGAAATATTGGTCAGATTTTAGTTTTATAAGAGTCGTCATAAGCCAATAACTGTTAAACCTTTGTTTTCATTGAAATTCGACATCCTTATGATATTTTAAATATATTTAACTGATAGTAAATGTGGGCTCATATTGAATTCGTATCTTTGATCAATTTATATAGGCCAAATCAAAATGATATATCATACATATTTTATCTGACTCATGTCATAGATTTTTGAATTTGCATGTCGTTCCTCACGATGTTTTCTTTCTCCATCTACAGTGTATTAGTGCACAGCCGGGAATCTAACCTACGACCTCAGATGAGAGTCGCATGCTAAAGCCACTAGGCCAACACCTTTAGGCCAATACTGTTTACCAAGCATAGCTTACTTTTCGAGAGCTTTTCAACAACCATAGGAGGCGAGAGACTGCTAAATATTGACAAAAACCAATAACTATCAAATAATTCATTTGGTCAATTGGAACAAGGGATTGGACTAAAGATCACACAAAAAGAAACAAACGTGCCATTGTGTCTCACTCTCCGGGAAAGCGTATGCGTATTTTATTATGCGTTAGCGCATAATAAAATTAAATGATGTTTTGTAGAAGTGTTATTTGAATCTACCACTTTGGAAGTACTACTTTAGGTAACTGATAAGTGTGGCTTTAGTATATGCTAGACGAGTTTTATAATGATGTGTAATACAAATATATTCGAACAATGAAATCGCTATACATAAACGTATATATTCGATTTATTATGCTTTGTTTTATTGAAACCGTAATTAATAAAAACTAATTTAACCAAATTATAATTAGTTACACATATTTTCCTTAAGTTGAGCCATGCATGGCCTTGTTTACACGTGAGACGTCGAGACAGTCCTACTGCAAATATCATTTTAAATTTAAAATAAATACCAAATAGTTGACCAAAATCCTTCAAGTGTATTAGATTGAAAATAACGCCAAATGTTGTATCGAGGACTCTTTAGTATCGTCATTAGCATTTTAAACAGTTTATTAAATCCGGTTATTGGTTATGTTATTGAAAAGTGTTAAACATCACTCAAATATATTAGTTTGTTGATTTATTGTTTTAATTGTACTTTTGAATCTTGTGTAATAATTAAACAACTAATAGACAATTAATTGTCTTTCAATGTCGCCTGCTTTTATTTTATTTTAGAATTTTAATTACACAGATCGTAGTAATATATATGTCGTATAATATATTCAAATAGAATGTCAATGTAATTATTTTTATTTTATAAGATTTGCCGCGCAAAACATTGAAACCAGTAAGAATAGACCATAGTAAAATTAGACTGTCTTGGAGGCGGACGGGGCAATTGGATAATGTTTTCTATAAAAACTAAACTTAAACAAGAATCCAAATAAATAAAAAACGAATAATAATAATAAATTCAAAAATGAAAGCTTCGGGCACAAATACTATATAAAAATGTATATCGTAGACCGAAACAATCGTTGTAATATTTCACCAAAACACGCTGGTATGTAGAGCAATTTAAACATTAATACATACTAAGCACAAATCGGTCAACACCCTCACAGTTCACACAAAGTTTACTAAAAATACGCGCGTGCGCAACAAAAGACGCTTCAAGACTATCGTATCACTATCAACACTCAAAAATATCGTGATAGTATATAAATAGTACTATTATTATTTGTTGCCTTACCCACGCTTACACGGAACGTGTTCCTGTATTAATTAGTTTAAAAAATAAATACATTAGGTTATTTATGTTTTGAGCTCGCATTAACGAACACGGTGTGATATACGTATGTGTACTGACTGGCGTACTGTCATTAAATAAATAGGTTATTTTAGCTAATTATAGATTTCAATAGCTTCATTGCAATTCCAATCGAAAAATAAAAAAGGTCATACTTCCTTTAATCAGTCTATCTCTAATCAGGCTTAAAAAGAAGGTGTCTTGTAACGAACATTATTAATAATACAATGTATGTTTTGATATAATTTTATGAGCTCACTTTATCGTGTTTTTATTAAAACAGCGCGCTAGTTCGATCGATAGAGCAACAATTTTACAATTAGTGGATTATGTAACGAAACAAAATATCACAATAGCGCAATCTAATAGCGCTAATAAAGCAAATTTGGGCGTGCAAATTTTTATATTTTATGGAGTTTCTTGCCCATTCTTCTTAATATGAAACTACCTTTTGGAAGGGGCAACTAGAGTCTTTTTTTTAATATGTAAATAACTTGTAATTTTGACTTTTAACAGTGCCTATTTAATTGCCTAATAGAAATAAATGATTTGACTTTGACTTTATTACTTTATTACTTTGACGCTATTAGGTATTACAGAATTTTGTGCAGTTTTGTAAGTAAATGGCCTTTGATCGAATATTGTATATTTCTAAAATCAGTATCCCATAATCCACTTTTATTATACACAAAACTTTTGAAATATACTTATAATCATGCGGAATATTGTTCAGTCCCAGTTAAATTTTTTTAATCCTATTTATTTTTATATATATAAAAGGGGTTTAGCCGTAAATATTTTGTCCTTCTCAGTGACAAAATGTTAACGCCTAATAAGAAAAACGAAGCAAACATCAAAATAAATAATTTTATATACAATCTTAAAATAACCCAATGTAACTAAAGCCAAATCATTTTAATTTAATTTTACAAATCCAAGCACTCCCGCACTATTATATCATTCAACATTTTTAGTATAGTGCACCTTCAGAATTAGCAATATATGTGCATCTCCCTCTCAGAGTACAGACTTGATTAACTGAATCTTCTCCATACATGTCCCTAATATCACTGGAATAACAACCAAATTCGTATGATTCTAAAACGTAGCACTCCACCCTTACATTCAATTGGCTCCTGGATCAACCGCCCCAACCAATGGAAAATCGAATCACGAAACCCCTGTTCGTAATTTAAATAAAATTGCAGTTTTATTTCAGTATACATTTGACCTTTAAAGGGAGTGGGTGGCAAAGTAGATCTAAGTTGAGTGTTAAATGTTATTTTTGAAAAAATAAGTGTTCAGTGTTTATGCCCACCCTGACGAATAAAGGTGAACAAGGTTTGTTATGACATGTTTTTATTTTATTTAAGATAAGGGGAATTTTCATTCCGTAACCAAATGCTTCACGGGGGTTTAAAAGGTTTGATGTTTTCTAATTATGTCCAGGATCGTACCTTTTAGCGTGTTGCGTTAGCTTTTTCGGTACACTTTGTTAGATAAACTAGAAATAATGTTTAAATTTGTAAAAAAATTTGAAAATACGAAAAATATAGGCTTCATATAGAATATTTTTTTTACCTCTAGACAGAGACCACGGATTTCCACTTACTACGTTCCTGACATACTTCTCTCACTTTATCCACTTTCATAACATTCACCATGCATGCTCGTCGGTCATGGGTAGATTTTACTTTTAACTTGTCTATTTTCTAGTATATTCTATTCTATTCTATAAGTTCTACATGACCAAACCACCTAAGCAGTAAGCATTCCTTGTCATTACGTACACACTACTCACGCATCTCACTATTACTTATCCTATCACCCAATGTTACACACATACTTCTTAACACTCCAATTTGACGGCATTTATTCTACTGTTATTCATTTTCTGCCACACCCAACATTCACTCCTGAATATTAACGTCGCGATTAGGATTGCATTTACGGCCAGTCGAACCTCGTTTGAGATTTCTTTGCTACACATAAATTCCTTTATTTATACCTAGCATTTATCACTTTTACAGTGTGTTAGTTTAATACATAAATATAAAATAATTTATAATATAAAAAGCTTATTTAAAGTGCTCTCCATTGGCTGCAATACCGTCCTTTAAACGTTGAGGCCAGGTATCAATAGAAGCACGCACTCTTTGTGTTGTTAAGGGGCTTCACTACCTTCTCAATAATAGTATCTTGACACTTGTGCGTACGTACACTTGTGCCGATGTTTTGATACCTTTTTTACAAAAGTATGGCTCAGTCACTCCTTCATAGCTTACCAAACAATCACTGAAATCGAATAGTACCCACGTTGCACTCTGTCGACTAATTGGGAAGCTTCCTTTGAGCATAAATACGGTCACTTTGTTTGTTAAAATGTTCAATGCTCAATTGTAAAAAAAATCTCATCCGTAAACAACATTTTTCTTTGCGTACCGCTTCAGTAGTTGTTTATATTTTACCACCCTATTATTTTTTAAACTATCAATTAAGAAACGACCAGTACGTCTCTTATAGGCTACAAGTCGTAAGTCATCTCGCATTGATTCTAGGTGCTATCTTCAGCTCCCGAGATAAAAATGTTTTGCCTTCGGACAGGATTTTTTAGAATTATTTCCCTTACTGCTTTGACCACCTTTTTCGTACGAACACTACGCCAGTTCTGTTTCTGTCACAAACAGAGGAGGTTTCATTGTACCTATTAATAGGTCGGTACACAAATATTTTACGAATACCAAGCGTATGGAGAGTTTTAAAAATTGCATTTGGCTCCATTCATACTTTGTGAAATGCAATCACAGAGATTCAGTTCTTTTTATTACTTACTTATTAATCTTATAAGAATGACAGATTCCAAATTCAAATGTAATATTTTGTTTATTTTTAATTGTAACAGTATTTATGGCCAGACTAAGTAAAGAAGCAGAATGTAGGTTTGTAATTCAAATTACGAGTAAATATATAACCTTAATTCATTATCACACTATGATTTGATTTTTAAGCTGTTGCCAAAAAGTTAAAAAGACTATAAGACACAAGATAAATATGTTTAATGTAGACGGTGAAAGTATTTTTAAATATATTAACCTACTATCCATTTATGCAGCTAGATTTAGACTATTATTATTAAATAAAAACGGTTCAAAAATCATTAATCCTGCTTATTTTAGTAATCATGAGATTTAAAAAGAATTTGTTCATTATTCTCAATTCAGTTTATAGTTTGGAAGTTAAAGCAAGATAGTAAGCGGAAATACTAAATAATTTTTTCAAATATAACTGGTACGATGATGCCGATAGGTAGGTATATAGTATACTTTTGTATAAGTGCAGGTATGTATAATTTTGATATGGAAACAATGTTTTGTCTATTTTTATGAAACGGGATGTGCCTATCACCGGAAGGTCTGTTTCAATTATAGTATGTTATAATTATTTAATTATTTATGATACAAATAATTCTGTTGACTGATGACTGATGACAAAAATGGATTTTAAATATATACTTTATACTTCGGCAATTTCGCAAAATTTCGGCAAAACTAAGCTTTGAATTAAAGTGCCTCGATCATGAAAAATAAAGAGAAAAATCACTATTAGCCAAGAATCGACCGGAAAAGCATTATATGCTAATTTTCCATATGGATTCGGCTAAGGCGCCTGATTTAGGCTATTAATTGATTGAGGCTATTGATATAGCGGCTATTCTATATAAATATATATGAAGAAGACATAGTGCAATGTATTGTAAAACAATCTTTAGTCGAATATTCTAACCACTACAAGAACCTACCGCCAAAAATTCTACTAAATTATATTTACGTTATAGTTAAATGCTAACCTTATTATCTGCGTTCACCACCCTGTTGAGGCTATTATGGTAAAAAATAGATATTTTACAATAATAATAAATTATCAAAAATTGCCTATATTCCAGTACTATAATACGGATTACTTGAAGGGTATGTAATTTTGTCTATTTAATTTTAGAACACGACCCACGAACGGAGTGAAAGCCTCCCCATTTGTCTCTTATCTTCGGTACTATTTTCTAACCTTTCCCCGCTATCTTTTTTATTTCATTTATTTATATTGCTAATTTGTTCTAGTAAGCACCATGACATCAGACCAGGAGTCATGCACTGATGAGGAACCTGATAGTGAAATGTTGAGTGATGACCTATGTCTTCCCGACAGCGACGATGACAGACAGGCTCTCCGGACTTCACAGGTTAAGTGGTATAATTATTATAAAGTAATAATACATAATTGGTTTAAAATTGATAAATCGACTTGAGATTAGATTGATGATTTAGGCTATGTTCAGATGGCAAAAACTTGACGCGCGTTTTCAAATCGCGCGACTAGAGATTATGGTATTTTTCATACAACTGTTCACATGTACGCGCGTTAACGCGCGTTAACGCGCGTCAACGCGGCGCTCAGAGAAAAAGTCTCTAGACGCAGGTGATCGCGCGTTGACGCGCGCTTTGATATTAATGTAATGTCCGTTTGCTGTTCAGATGAGCGCGCGCTTTCATCGCGATCGCATGTAATTTTATTAATTTTCGTAATTATATTTTGTTCTCGCTTTTAAAATGAGTGAAATTGAAGATATTGACATCGACTTACTAATCGATGAAGTAGAAAAAAGGTCAGCAAGTTGGAATATAGCAAATTTGTATAAAAAATATAATATAAATTGTATTTTTTTTTTAAATTGGATAAACCCAATGTGTACGTTTTCTTTTTCTATATTTTTCTTTATAATATAACCACAAAATAATAGCCTCTTCCACGTCCATTTTCTACGTTCTACCGAACTAGACTGACGAGTACTCTCGCAACGCGCGTTAGCGCTCATCATCTGAACGCTCTTCAAATTTGATCGCGCGTTGACGCGCGTTACCGCGCGTTACATGTGAACATAGCTATATACATCGTGCACACATATTGGTTATAATGTTATCGAATTGTAATATAAAGCGTTTCTATTGTACCTGTACCTGTATATTAGTCCTACCTAATACTACTAGACCGCTAACTAACTTACAATTACCATACTGACAGCAATTCCGATTTTAATACATAATAAGTTTTTGTTCTACGCTGTCCTAATGTTGCGTAATCACGCCACGCCTTCAAAAACTTCGGGATACAGAGTACGGGCTCAGATCCAATTAGGATTACCTAAACAGCCTTGCGATTCTGTAACTCACTTTTCGAACTCTCACAGCGGTTTTCACAGCGGCGGTCGCGCTCAAATCAGTCGTAAAGCAGTCATTTTACGATTTGGCATTCTAATAAGGAAGGAGCTTGTAGTTTATTGTTTATTAGAATGCCAAATCGACTGCTTTACGACTGACTTGAGCGCGACCGCCGCTGTGAAAACCGCTGTGGGAGTTCGAAAAGTGAGCTACAGAATCCCAAGGCAGTATGTGTTGTATAGCCAAAATTTTTACCTAATTTAGTGTACATTTTTGATCTAAGGTTATAATTGTGGTCGTGACATGTGCTGATTTATCCTATATTACCAACAGAATCTCCCTGAAGAGCTGCAACTTAACTCGTGTCTTCTTTTACCGCCACGGAGTCTCTCCACCAATAGTCGTGAAAGATGGCGTCAGCAAAACGTTAGCGGGGCATTTGCTGAACTAAGAAGACTAGTGCCGACGTATCCTCATGATAAGAAGCTTTCTAAGAACGAGATACTACGGATGTCTATAAGGTACCTGCAGTGTTTGGTTCTTAAAGTTATTTTCAGCTTGAAGGACAGACATGATGTGCCCTTGTGAGGTAGGTAAGGAAGGTAGAACTCTTCTTTCATCATCGACACCGAAATCTTTCGGTGTCCGTCTCATTGACGATTTTGTATGCTTTGTAATCTGAAACAATTGGATTTATTGACTGTTGAACCCGCGATCTCCGGGATATACTAACAAAATCAGAGCTGATCCATAAATGTGATGATTTTTTGCTCTAAAATGATACATTTCTGATAAGGACAGTATCAATAGAATTGATAGTCAACCATCGTAAGCTTTTGAGGATAACTTTAAAATAAATTATATTATAAATACATATTTTATGACAAAATGACGTATGCTAAATGCGTTGTATGATTTTTACTATGATTTAATTAGATTTATATTATGTTTTAAAACCGAAAAGTAGAAAACACAATATATTATTATTTTAAAAGGTATAAAGTCCGATCTGCTTATCTGTAGGAACACGTATTGTTTTAAATTTACATTTGTTTTAATAGTTTCAGTACTTATTTTTAAAATTTTATTTCACTAGCGGACCCGACAGAAGTTGTCCTGTGTCTTAAATACAAAAAAATCATGTAATTGAAATCTAAACCATTCTCGAATCCACTTGAACACACTCACAAAAATTCCGAAAAATCGACACAGCCGCACAGGAGTTAAAGAACAAATATACGCACAGTAGATTTCTATATATTTTTGACTTCGCTAGTATAAAGTTCTATCATCTGTGCAATTAGAACTAAATGATAGTAAAATATACCAGATAAATAATTTGTTTTTAGGTACATAGGCCTTCTTTGCGAAGTCATAGAATGGCAGAAGAGCCACGGTTTACTTACGAATAAAGAAAACGCCATTTTGGCCGTCAAATGCGAATCACCAATGAGTCCAGTCTCATGCCGACGGTTCAAAAGAAATTTTCTAGAGAGACCAGATGAAAACCACGACTTCATAGGCAACGAAGAAAATGATTTTAGAAGACGTCTTTGCTATAAAGACTGGTATGGGAAGGATTTGAAAATCCTACGCAATAAGTTCTATGTGTCGGCAAGATGGCGGCAGATGCCCTTTAGGAACCTGACGGGGGAAAGAAACGGGAATAATTTGCTAATGATTGCTCCTAAAGATGATGAGAAAAAAGAGAAAAATGAGGGGAAAGATAAAAGTTAATTACTAAGATATACATGGAGTAACTGGTCATACTATGATATATTTTATTGAATCGCATCTTGTATCCAATTGAAAAGCTTGAATCTTGGCCATTTAATGTGTCAGAAAATTTACCTTTTCCGCATGTGAAGTTCAATAGTTATCAATTTTATAATATATTAAATCACTTTTTGTATATAACAACAAAAACCATGTATTCTACATGACTATAAATAAGTTTTTTTTGTTTTTGGCGCTGTAAAATGGTGTGAGATTCTAGGATTTTATTAGAGTAATACATCGTGATCCCGTTTCAAAATAATTGTCTTACATATATTTAATTTATTATGTAAATTATTTTAATTTGTTTGTATAATAAAGTCACTTAAACGTTATAAAAATACAGAAACGTTGCGTTGTTGCAATATTACTCCAGTTATTATGATATAAAATTATTTTACTAAGCAAGATCGCTTAAATTACTTATGTAGGTATTATATTTATAGATTAAACAATGTAACTAAAATTTTTCTTAAAGATCTCAATATATCGTACTCAGTAGGCAGTAATGTGTAATTTATAATCATTTATATATTATTGTTATTAAACATTAAATTATAGGTGTTGTTTTTAACTGATTCCAAAATAAAAACTTAGACATAAAAAAAGGTTTTTAGTCACTTAGGGTCTGTTTCACAATGTATGGATAAAGTACCAAATAGCTATGCAACACATAAATTATTTGGAAGATAAATTGTGCTATTTGACATTTATCGGACTCATAACTTATGATGGACTTTATGTGACGAATAGCGCTATCTGACAGTCGTGAAACGCAACAATAGTGTTTATCCTACCAATAAGTAATAAATAGCTAATATGGAACTTATCCATACATTGTGAAACAGACCCTTATAGTGCCAAATGCATTATTTTACATGTGCGTACCTACCCCGGTCCATATTTGATTCATCTATATACCAAGACGAGTATTTTTTTTCATAAACTCTCAGGAAGGATTCTTTGGAGAGAAAAATTAGAAATATATAAAAAACTTATGTATGTAGATTGTAGCTACAAAAAAGTGAGCCTTATAAAAACATATTAAGGCTGAAAGACACACTCTTCCGAACCAATTACTACACAACCTCCTTCATGGACGTAAATTGGACTTTAGTACCACTATACCCTTTTTTTTTTTAATGTAATAGGCGGCAAACGGGCAGGAGGCTCACCTGATGTTAAGTGATACCGCCGCCCATGGACACTCACAATGCCAGAAGGCCCTTTGCTTGGTTGTCACAAAAATAACTATTCTCGTAACGTCTCATCCATTTTCTCAACAATTCATTTTCTCATATTGACTCTTTCATATTGCTGAAAGCCAGCAATTGGAGGAGGTGGCATAAAAAAGAGGGCGTTGAAATTTACTAACGGAAAAGGACATTTCTGGTTCTGTTTTGTTGATTACATTCCGTATAGGCTGGTGATCAGTTTACTGTGATGATAAAATATGGTAAATTGTAGATTGGTAAAAACAAAGGTCAAATCATACATATACTCAACAAATACCAAATATGCCATGAAGGCAAATAACAGCTTCATAACTAAAGTGTTTACTCTTTAATTGACACCTAAGTTTTGTTATTTGAGTTCCTATTTTATGTAGGGTAGGGCGGGGCTAGTTGAGCAATTTTTCACTTGCTTGGATATAGCTCCTCAATGATAAGTCTCAATGAGTTGTTATGTGTCCTGATGGATTAGTAATTTATCCCTTAACAAAAGTGTCCATAGTATTTTTTTGTAACAAGTCCAATATAATAGCTACAGATGTTTAAATGCAGAAAGTCAAGTATGCTCAATGTACCCCATAGGTGGGGTAAGTTGAGCAAGGGTATGGGGCAAGTTGGGCACTAAGAATGTCTAGGCCAAACCATGGGTTCTATGTTAACTTGACATGAAATAAAATATGCGTTAGACAGTCAGCTTTTTATTTATAGTATTTTATTGACAGAACAACAAAATTTAAAGAAATTTTCTTTGTATAATTAACCGAAACTAGAATCATCAAAACATGAGCATCCATATCTATCCATTACTTCCGATAATTTCTAAAAAAAGATTACCAAGGCTGGTGGGTTCTGGTTTCTGTATGGATAGCTACGATCTTTTTGTTTTTAAAACATCATCAACCATTCTTTTCCGAAAATCTTTTTTGCAATTCAGCTTGGTGGAATTTCAGCACACTCTTAGGCAAGGCGACGGACGTCCTTTGGAGAAAAATGCCATTTGCAGAGAATTTTTTCAACAGTTCTCTTGTGAGACAGGATATACTTCCCTCGGTGTTGTATAGCCCATAAATGAATCATCACCTTCATTTAATTTATTTAAAAGTCAACCAATTCCGAATTCTTTAGCGGCGGTATTCACACTTTTTCCCTAATCGTGGACAGCCTTTGCAGCATTATTTAAGTATTCAGTAGTGTAAGAACATCTTGTAGTCTTCCTCTTGTAAGTCCGCATCCAAACAAAAAATAAAAGATTCATTACTCATCAGTTGTTTAAGTCGTAGAGTTAGTTGAGCTATAGTTGCTCAACTTACCCCAACCCGAAATTTTAAAAGAAAAGTAGGATTGTAAATAAATGCCTAGAATTAGACCCAAAACCTATTTACAAATCAAAAATACAATAATCTTCTGAAAGATTAACACTCTCCTGATTGAAAACAGAGAACATTTGACAAAGACAGACGAAAACTTGCGATAAACAATGTTTTTACTTTTTGGTCACAAAATAAACAAAACGCCGTGACACTTCACTCACTCGTCGAGCTGCCACTAGCTATCGTGCGATGATTACCTCTCCTACCACTCCTTCTTTTCGCTATTTGATACTCCCGCGTAAGGTGAATAGTTTCCGAGATATTTCGATTGCCCAACTTGCCCCTATGCTCAACTAGCCCCGCTCTACCCTATAGGCGAATGTTAAGCTTATCGCCGGTATTAGTAAGCTTAACTTGTGTGTGTCCGACGTGTATAATTTTTTTGTTAGTGTGTGGTTTAATAAATAGAGAAAACTACATATATATTTCTTTATAATTTATGAGTGAACTTTCGCACCAACTAAGCAGTTTGCAATCAACCCGAGTTAATAAATGAAAATTTATTATATACGTAGATAAAATAATTACTGTGCAGTAGAAGTGAAAGATAAAAAAATTAATACTACTCCTTAAAATTTGTCGTGGTTCCAGAAAACATAACTTCTTACACAACTTAGATTGCAATCCTAATTTCAATATTTAATTTAAATAAATATTTATGATATTAAAAGTAATTTTGTAGCCTGTGATGTGAAGGCTGGAAGGCTGTCATAGCAATTGGGTTTCTGTGCAACATGAGGTGATAATAATTATTCGAATAGGCTTGATTTGGTATGACGTACGATTGAAATGACCACAATTTTTACAAAAAATTACCCTGCTCGTACGGCGTACGTCGGTCACAACTGTACTTGGTCTTTCGATTTTTTCTTCTTTCACATTCCGAGCATCTTGTTATAGATCTTGGCATATTCTTTGGTGGTTCCACAGGTGTTTCACCAAGTAAACCATGTATGCAGTCAAGAGAATCCCTTGGAATCCGTGGGTTTTCTTTACAGTTTCTTATGTGTTCTTCGATCATAAGAATTCCCAAATTACAAAAAAAACCTCCTGATGTTAGTTTCCTTTACTTGATTGTTAGAATTGAACATATTATCACAGCGGTGATTCCTGCAAGATTCAGAGAAATAAAGTGAGTGGCTAGCCGCCAGGCCAGGTTGACAACCGCAATAATGTTGTACCATCTACTAAGGCATATATTTTTTCTCCGTACTTCCCTGGATTCGATGGAATATACTGGCGTTACCCATTCTTCATCTAGTGCTAGGTATTCGCATGGTTTATAGGCATTTTGGCAAAGCTGGACCAACAAAACAAAAAAATAGTCATGTATGTAGAAATACTCATATTTTAATACACGATGAGCAGTATGCTCATTCTTTAGTCGTCTTGAACTTGTGGGGGATGTGACACCCGGCCGTACTTTACTGGCGTCCGTTCGCTGCGCCTACGACGCTGCTGCTAAATTTCTGTTACTAAGGGCCAGTTTTTTGATCCGTAGTAAAAAATGGTTTAACCATTTGTTACATTAACTATAGTTAAATGAATAACCATTGGTAAAATCGTAAATGCGTTTTTCAATGTTTAAGTATATTACTAATTCATTATGTGTTTTATTGCCTATAATATTAACTTATAATTATTATAAGTTAATATCATAATCAATAAAACACATAATGAATTAGTAATATACTTAATTATATACTGCTGCGGTTCTGTAGCTAGTAATGAAGCAAAATAGGTTTGTATGAGCTGCTGTCTATATATACTCTTGTTCATTGGCAGTTTAAGGTTATTCCCAATTTCAGTAACAATCCAGAGCACTGTTCCCTTCGATAGGGGGTAACAGTGACAAAAATCTACATCATCCCAGGTTTCTAATGGCGGATGGCGTTGCCTAAATATTTTTGGTCACTCATTAACACATTCTCATATAATATTATCGTCTCCTTCATCGTCTCATTAATTAAAGTATCTCAATATGTTTAAATTCATCATTAGATAGTAATAAACGTATTTATCATAGTTTGATTTCTGTGACAAACAGCTGTTACTATATAAATTACCAGCGGCCATCTTTTTAACCCTCCGATACTGAGTAGTTAACTTTTTTGACTAATGGTTAGATATTTTACCATTAGATGCTCTTACCACGGATCAAAAAACGCATTTTGCTGATATTTAACTAATAGTAAGGATTTTTAACCAATAGTTGAGTTAACTACGGATCAAAAAACCGGCCCTAAGCGGTTTGACATGAGTTTTGAATGTGTTTTCGCGGACTTGGAACAATGAGATTTTTGTTTGGCTGAGGTTTATAACGTGGTGCTCGGAAGGTTAAAGAATAGACCCACTAATACTCATTATGCTAGATAAGAGACATTTGCCATTCACAGATGCGCAAACATAATTAATAATAATTATATAAATTACGTGGTCAAAAGTGAATACACAATTGCAGAGGCTATGAAATCTTTCACAAACGTCATAAAACACAAAAGTCTTTATTCAAAAATACATCGTCTCTCAAGTAAATAAGGTTTATTTTTATTTGATGAAGACGTTTCGTTCACATTACGTAACAATATGTATCTACTAAGTACTTACTACTTTATTTAGTGTTTGTTCTTCGCTGATAAAGAGTGGACGTTAACCAATGATAAAAGTGGGTTATCGTGTAATTCAAAGAATATGGTATGTAATTTTTTTATTTTTATTAAGGAAACTGACATATAGTACACAGAACCGGCAAAAGTTATACGAGATGTATCTTAACGATCACTAAAGAATAACACGATACAGTAGACAATATAACAATGTGACATTAAAACAGGAAGAAAACGAACACCAATGAAGCACGAACGCGGGTAAAAACAGATGAACACTATTTCCCAGTATTTCAGACATTTTTTATTTAAAAAAATTACCACAATAATGGACCCCAGTATTGTTGAGCTAATTATATATTGTACAAGTCAAGAAGTTATCTTTCATACCATACCTGTGGCGCTACAACTTTTTTAAGTCTGGGCCTCAGACTTCTGTATCTATTATACACATAGACATTGGTGCACAGCCGGGCATCGAACCTACAACCTCAGGGATGAGAGCCGCACGCTGAAGCCACTAGGCCACTGCTCTTAGAAGTTATCTTTACATTTACAAAAATAAAAATGTTTTATTCATTATAAGTATGCATTACAATGTCTCAGATTTGGAAACCATTTTAAGTAAAAACTCCTAAAGTAAGTATTACATTGTTTATGCAATAGTTAATATAAAAAGTTGTACAAAAAAGCACTGACAAGATCAACTTCAATTTGAACTATGCTTACAATATTAGTGATGTTTATATTAGCTATTGCATTTTTTAAATATCATTATTTTAACTCTCCTTGTCAGCGCTTGAATTAGCGGGTAGCGTAATTCGGGTCTTTACTCTTGGGTTTGATTTTCACCGTAACAATAATTGTTTGGCATTGTAAGGTACTTTCTTCAGTGTATTGATCAGTGTCTGCTGTGCATTATTGGTTACGTGTTAGCACGCAGGTCAGGTTATGAAATCGCACCATAAATAAAAACAATTCCTGGCGTCTGAGCTAAGACATGTAATCAGCCGTTTATGATGTTTACTTGGTGGTATTATTACTATGTAAGATTAACGACCAATAGGTATTTAATTTATATAAATCCTCCTTGTGAACATAAACAACATCTACTTTGTATTGCCGTAAAGTACCTAATACCTGGGTTATTATATTCGTCATAAAGTGCCTGGAAGGTCGTAGGATCGCCTTCTTGATTTTCTACTAATATATAAATGAAAAGCACTTTTTATTGATCTGTAACTTAGCAATGACCACCGATACCTATTTTAAAACAGTATATTCCAAAGGAAAGAATTAATACCAGAAAATGAAAGCGTCAAGAGGCGATCATTGTAAGTCAGTCGGCACTCAGCAGTCGAATTACACATTTTGTATCATCCTCAGCGTACATGAATGAAATCACACTTAACAACGTTTTGTTTCTTGTGAATAGAACCTTGAAATCAAGTTTCTGATTTAACCTTTAATCTAAGTAAAAAGTGCAAAATTCTGTTCATATTCGCTTATGCCTATAATTACTCAGGTCAAATCAAGTTAAACTATTTTATCCCTACGTATCTACGATACCTTGAATCACATCGTTTCTCGAGCAATGAATATTTTTTAATTGAAAACATAATAACTACATGGCATGATCGTAAATGATTAAAATATTAGTTTATTTTAGCAATTATCCTTCTAAAGTTAAAATTTATATATATCCTAAACACAAATATGATTTATGTATTAATGTCCTTTTACTTATCGTCGAGAGGTCACTATCAAATTGTTATCACACGATTACCTATACTTACGTTTCATGTATAGCTGATTTTATTTAAAATGTTATATGAGGTTAATCAGTTTTATAAACAGTTGCTTCGTCATGTGTTCTATAATTTTAATATCTTTTATTAAATACAAGGTAGGTTAGTAATCTAATATATAAAATTCTCGTGTCACAGTTTTCGTTGCCATACTCCTCCAAAACGGCTCGACCGATTCTCATGAAATTTTGTGTGCATATTGGGTATGTCTGAGAATCGGACAACATCTATTTTTCATCCCCCTAAATGTTAAGGGTAGTCCACCCCTAAATATTTTATTTTTATTTTTAGATATTTTGTTCTGTTTTTTTTTATGATACAGCATTAAAAAATACATACAAACCCCTATTTTTCACCCCTCTACGATCAACCCCTATTTTTTTATTATAAATGATATATATGGCAAAACGACGTTTGCCCGGTCAGCTAGTAATTTTATAAACATCTTCAACGTGGAATATCTGTCTTATCGCACCGGAGCTCAATGGTACGATAAAATGAATTAGCAGAACTAATATTTAAGACCTTTTGACATTTTGTAGAATCATTCCATCAAGGCACTTTCAAAATCATCACAGACAATTCATCCGTATGGAATCTTACATACACATAAATTTAAGACACATACATCTTTAGCGGCTAAAAAGCTAAAGGTCAACCAATCCCCAGAACATTCTCAAGCCTCTGACAAGAGTTAGAGTTACCCTGTAAAGTCAGGATAGACTCAATTATCTACCCTTCATTAAATACTTCTAATGTTTTAGATTTGCCGAGTACTCCTAGTGGGCATTCTAGCCCTGTTCGCGGTACCAGTTCTATACTTCTACACAAAAGCACCACCGCCTCTACCAGCCCTAGATTTAGAAGAATGGTGGGGAACAAAGCTATCAATGTCAAAGCAAAATAGTAGTATACTGCCTTTCCAAGTGGAGTTTAATGATATCGTGAGTAGAGAAATATTAGTATTACCTTGTTATTACCCAACCGAAAAATATATTGCTTTCATTATGTTAAAGCATTCCTTTATATTAGATAAAGGTCTTCAACGATACGAAATTGATGGCTTAGAGAAATTTGTTACGGCTATGTTTTATTTCTGTTGTGTTGTTTCTAGAATATAAAAGACGTAAAAGAGCGACTTCGTGACCGACATCCTCTTACGCCACCATTAGAAGGCGTCGCATTCGAATATGGATTTAACAGCAAACAACTAGAGTCCTGGCTCAAGTACTGGGTTGAGGAATACCCTTACAGGTAACATCGTTAAGTGACATATGTCAAAATTGCTCCTAAAACTATTACCATGGCAACAATATCTCACGGGTTATAAGATTATTATTATTATTATTTTTTTATAGAACGGGGGGCAAACGGGCAGGAGGCTCACCTGATGTTAAGTGATATCCGCCGCCCATGGACACTCTCAATGCCAGAGGGCTCGCGAGTGCGTTGCCGGCCTTTTAAGAATTGGTATGATTAGAATAAACAAAATTATACAATTAAATTTTACGATCTTATTATTACTTTTGCGGCTCATATAAACCCGACCATAACGGTATAAATATATTTTTGTATATTAATAAAACAATCTTTTTCAGCGAACGTGAAACGTATATAAACAAATACCCACAATATAAAACGAACATTCAGGGTCTGAATATTCATTTCGTGAGAATTAAGCCGGAGGTAAATTTTATTTTGATTCTTTGATTTAAGCACAGACTAAAGCAGTTGTTAAATTTAGGAGTTAACTATGTTATCAAATAAAATTGAAATTCTAAATTTACATTTACGACGTTTTCAATTCGAGCGCGTGGAATGGGCCTTGGGCACGGTCTCTTGCCAATAAACTATCCGTTACTCTTTTACACGCCAAATTTTGGTTTACAAAAACTTGTAAACTAAAACCATAGAATCCATGCTTATCGTTAAGCCCCATGCTTCACTTGACACTTCATATATTAAAGCAATGAATGTTGAACAGGAACTCAGTTGTCGCTGTATCTACCAGCATTTCTTACACATAAGCAAAATCTATGAACTGTGCGCCCTTTTCCCCTACGATAGAAAAAAATATTGAAATTGAGTAGTCACAACGATTTCAACCTACAACCTAATAATTTAATCTTGTTAATTAATGAGCTATGTATGTTGAAATATTTAATAATTTCGGCAATGAGTTGAGACTTCTATTAAAAATTAAAAAACACGCATCAGAAAGGCTACCGCAACCTTACAAAATTTGGATATTTTAAACGATTTAATGAGAAGTAATTTTCAGAAGGTACCCGCTAGCAAAGAAACCGTACCCCTTCTGCTCCTTCATGGGTGGCCAGGTTCTTTCTTGGAATTCTATGAAGCCGTTCCTCATCTGATGGCTGTAAGCAAGGATAGGGACTTCGTTTTCGAACTTATTATTCCCAGCTTGCCCGGATATGGATTTTCAAGTGTGAGTATGAAAATATATGCTGCCTTTAAATGTGTTTCACTGCTTTCGCGACTATGTCTGTGTGTGTGTGGATCATTTTGTGTCAATAGGTTTATGTGTAGGTATCTAAAGAATGGTGCAACTCAGCCATGAAATTTAAAAAAGAAAAACTCATTTAAGAATGCAAATTATATTTACTAAATCCTCAAGTAACTGTTAACTCTTAATAAAAGATCGTTCCAGCTTGTTGATGTCCACTGCTGGACATGGGCCTGTCCCCTAAATTTCCAGTAGGTACGACAGGTTCCCTGGTCATCTGTAAAAGATCGCTTTTTGTTTTTTTATTTATATAAAATCCATCTGTAGTAACTATAATTCAAAAATGTATTATTTCCGGTAACTGGGATGACTAAAATACTTTATACAGGCCGCAACTCGACCAGGTCTTGGTGCAGACAAGATGGCGGTGGTAATGAAAAACCTGATGAACAGACTTGGACACAAGAAGTTCTACGTGCAGGGTGGTGATTGGGGTGCGCTTGTTGGCAGTCTAATGGCTACGTTTTTCCCACAGGTATTTATTTCAAAAACAATTATTGAACTATCTGAGAGTTTTAGCGGATATAATAATTGCAGGACTTCAGATTTCGAGTTCCTATTTATATATAGATATACAAACCCCCTTGGGTGAGTACGTAAAGCCATCGTGCGCTTGATCTCGCGTTACTCCAGTCTCGTCGGACATCCGTCCCTACGGAGTATGTGCGCTTTAGAATAGAGAGTATACTTGTCTATGTCCACACACATTTAAGTAATTCCTTCAATTTAGCTTAAATAAATTTAAATTTTCCTTTACGTCACAAAAGTAAAAACTAGAGAACGCCTTGACTTTTTTTAGGACGTATCTATATTTTTATGTGCTTAGGTTGTTTTGTGAATATTTTAAAGGTATTATTGACAACAAACCTGCTCGGTCACGTTTACGAGTAACACAGAAATGGTCAATTATAAAGTTTTTATTCATTTAAAGGAAAAAGTCAATCATTCATCTGCTCGTAGATTCTTAATAGAATGAACATGTTATATACAATAAAACCAGTATGAAACTAAATTAATAAATAGAAAATATCAGCATTTGTCATTATATAATAATAATAATAAAACTTTATTCATGACAGAGATATGGTTGTGACAAAACCGATCTAACGCTTGTCCCCACATTAGGGAGCCCCTGTGTTGTGGGTAGATTACAATTATTCCGTGGTACATAGTATACGTTTCGAACAAATTTTAAAAATATTAGTCTAATACATTTAATCAATATAATATACTTATATTTCTAGGAGGTACTGGGTTACCACACAAACATGCCTTTCTTGAGCACGACAGCGTCTACAATCATTCGTGTGCTCGGTTCCATTTATCCCCCATTGGTGGTGAGTTCGGAAGCTGCAGACAGAATGTACCCCATGTCTAAGTACTTTGGGATGCTGTTAGAGGAAACTGGATATTTCCACATACAAGCCTCTAAACCAGATACAGTTGGTAAGATCTTAATGAATTTGGTTATTACTTTATAGTTGGTAGTTATATTTAAGTTAGGCATTAAATTGAATCAAATCAGACGATATACACTAAGTATTTAGTGTATATCGTGTCATTTGGTTCTAAAAAAAGGTGAGAATTGAGTTTTGAAAATTGGTAATATTCTCTTCCAGTATTTCGACTTTGACACCTGATAAAAAAGTTGGTTTTTGATAATATTCATTACCGACTTATTTTACGATAAAACAGTTCAATAGTCAATAGTTTCGGCTAGTCCGCCGCAAAATGTACTCCAATCCAAACGTTTTGACGAAATATCTCATTTCCACACCACCTCGAGGTAGAGTAAGCGGCGCGTTTGAATCGTGATATCCCCATTAGGCCTAATCCACATGCAATTCGATATCCTGAAACTTCACGCATTCTCCTTAGCTTCGCTGTTCTTGGTGCAACGGCACTCTGAAAAAAACGCTTTTAGCTCCATGTTTCCAATATACTGGCGCGAGCGGCAAAAATACGAGGTGCAAAGTCGACATTTGGAAAATACACATCAACATCTCTAAAATTACCAATTCCCAATACTCCCTGAAACTACCAAATGACTGTACTCGTACTAGTAAGGAATGGAAGGGCTATGGAGGGCATAATATTCATAAGATCACAAGGCAGACCAAAAGTTAGTTCTACAAAGTTCGACGTAGTTTGATCAGTAAGGGCAGATTTTATAATACATAACTAGGTTTTAAAAAAATCTTCTTTTAATAACCTTCATATTGCAACAGTTTCCTTAACTGGCCTTAATAAAGCTTTAATAAAGCCTTCAAGAAAAGTAAAGGCATTTTCTGAGTTGACTGTAACCTAACGATTGAAATGTAACGAAGAAGTAAGATTTTCTTCTTAATCACCGTATATTACAGGTATAGCTCTAAGCGACAGTCCAGCTGGCTTAGCAGCGTATATTCTTGAGAAATTCTCCACCTGGACACGTCTTGACCACCGCTCAAAGCCTGATGGTGGTCTCACATACCGTTTCTCCAAAGATCGGCTCATAGACAACCTGATGATCTACTGGGTTTCGAATTCCATAACGACCTCTATGCGCATGTACGCTGAGACGTTTAATAAGAGATATTTGAGCCAGAATTTGGATGAGTAAGTCTTTTAAAATATCATATAATTTATAGTTGCCGTAACTCACTTATTTAGTTTTAAGGTTTGAATAGTCAGAGTTTTGGACAACTAAAATAAGGTTCGTTTTTCAAATCGGACCTCAAATCACAATTACACAATTGTTGAACTCGCAATCGCTGACAACATTTTTATACCTAAAGCAGTTGTCCCACCAACGCAACAGCGAGGAAACGACTAACGGACTCACTATCGGCTATTTTCTCGCTCAAGAAACGCACAATAGATATATATTCCGTGTAAACAAAAGAGATGCATACTCGTATATAAATAGTTGATCGCTGACTGTTCATACTGCGAGGACTCGCTCCACTAGTTCGTCGCTGAGCGACACGAGCTATGTAAGATCATTCTCGCTTAGCGATACTTGCTCATCGATGAGAATTCACGCGGAGAGACCAACTAGCGGCAGCAGTCATTTCTCTACAAAGCGGATCTGAAAGTACACATATTTTTATTTATTATGAATATCAAATAATCATTTGAATTTCATTTGTTGTCTAGTTCAGACAGTGGCAATTCTGGAAAACAAGAAGAATTTGGATGGAGAATAGCGCGAGTAATCTCCCGTCTCACTCGTACACTCGCTTATAGCCCAGCGACAAATCCATCGGAACTACATACTGGCATTCCGCTGCTCTCCAACTCGTTTCTACTTCTAGCTCGACTCGTTTCTCGTTGATCGTCCGGATCGTTGGATCCGACTTTCATTCGGATGACCCAATACGGGATCACTTTTAAGCGACAAAAAACGTAATCTAGTTTAGATTAGGTTTCTTCAAAGTGTTGTAATGTAAATTAATATTTTTTCAGAATACAAACGCCAGTTCCGACCTGGATAATTCAAGCTAAACAAGAGGTGACATACGTTCCTGGCTGGATCCTTAAATTCAAGTACACAAACCTTTTGAACGAGACCATACTCCAGGACGGAGGCCACTTCTTAGCGATGGAGCTGCCTGAGATTTTCTCTAAAGATGTTCTGAAGGCTATTGACGCATTCCGGAAGTGGCATAAACAACAACAAAGAACAGAGTTGTAATTTTATTGCAATTAAATTTTTTAATAAATAATCTGATTATTTAGTTAAATTTATGTGAAAGCATCAACAAAAATATCGCCACATTATTCTTGTGTCGAGCAATTACTGAAATTTATAAAGCTAACATAAAATACCAAGACAAACAAATCGTCATGATCGTAGAACAATGTCGGATCCAAAATCCACTATTTATCATATTTGGATACTAAGGGTCTGTTTCACAATATACGGATAAGTTCCGAATTAGCTATTTATTACTTATTGGTAGGATAAACACTATTGTCGCGTTTCACGACTGTCAGATAGCGCTATTCGTCACATAAAGTCTATCATAAGTACTTATAAGTCCGATGAATGTCAAGTAGCACAATTTATCTTCCAAATAATTTATGTGTTGCATAGCTATTTGGTATCCATACATTGTGAAATAGACCCTTAATATTACGGCTTCATTAAAAAAAATCCATGTGTTTTTATTTAAAATTAATCAGTCGGTAAAGTGACGGATTTGATAGACGCTCATTGATTTTTCTAGGAAACTGTGTAGTTTAATGTTATTATATTTATATTTTCTTTTAAAAGAAACCCTTTTGTTTGCGTGTATGCCAATTTTCATAATAACAGAATATGAATTAAAAAAGGTATGACAAAAAACTAATTTGAAAATTATTTTGAAATGGCTGCCCTGTAAAGTTTCCTATTTGTCAGATCCGTCACTATTCTACGACTATGACGAAATACTCCAAAATCCCTGTCCGGCAATGCCCTCGAAAAAAGCAGTGGTATATAGGACTCGACCCACACCAGAATCTCTGCTATTGAGAGACTGGGTGAGCAATACTCATTAAAACTACTTATCTCGGGTAATTCCTTTAAAGCCGCGTTAGAGAGGCTCTAGGTACGCTCCCGTATTCTCTCATGTCCCGGTTTGATCGTCTAGTCATACAGGTGATTCAGTTACGTCTGGTCATCTAAGGGTATATCATATCATTATAATATCATCTAAGGGGTCTATAATATTTGATGAAGAGCACGTAATCTCTATATTGTTATTGTAAATATAATTAGTCTATATTATTACAACTGAGGAACTATACAGGGCCTTGTAATTTAAGCTGGTAGGTAATCTAAGTTGTAGTAAAATATGTTTATTCGATATTCCTATTCACGTTCATTACTGCAGAAGTTACCAAGCTCAAAAATTGCTTTTGTATTCCACGAGGGCACGATGACGTTTAAAGTAATTTGACCCCTAATAGTTATTTATGAGTATAATAAAATCGTATTATAAAATCAATAGCTTAATACTTGAATGAATAATCTCAAAACCGGAGCGACGCCGCGGCACGCGACTAGTTGTGATATAAAATGAATTGAGGGGATAAGTGGATTAGTTCGTGTGAAACTTGGGTGGAATGTAACTTATAAAATCATATTTAGCTTTAAAAACCCCCTTGAAAAATTATAAAATTTTGTGTTTTATAGGCAAACTTACTATATAAGTATTATTAATCTAATGTTGCACATCCCTTTAGGTCTTTTTCTCATTCTGCATCAGCTTTAATACATTTTCTTCTTTGATTTTGGGTCACAGTGGTTTAACTTAGTAACATAAAACCGTTTATCACATCCGCAACCGCGTTCAAATGCCGGGTCAAGTTCAAGATTGTGAATCGCACGGTTAACAATGAAATCATAATTATACCCACCTTCATAAGCTATTGCTTATTTACATTACATGTATGTATATAATGCCTGTATAAATAATAATCATGTAAATCCACACAGGTATGTATTAAATTGTTGTGAAGTAATTAATACTTGCCTTCCACAACTTCTGTCAAAAATACATTTATAAATCTGGTATGAATAATTCATGACGCTAATTCAAAATAAATATTTTTATCTTTCTAAGCCCGAGCGGCGCCGTGTCGCGTGCCTTGTGCTAATATTTTAGATTGTAATTTGTGAGTGTCCATACAAATTAGTTTCTTTCGAAAATATTATTATTTACTAATATCACAATATATTAATGTTAATAGTATTTATTAACGTATTAATATTAAAAAATATAAAAAAGTGTGCGTAGGCCGGGAATCGAACCCGGATCAACTGCTTGGAAGGCAACTATGCTGACCATTACACCACCAACGCTTGTACAGTTCTTGGTAAAATTGCTAGTCCATAGAGATCAATTCTATGCTATTTCGAGTTATTAATATTTTCGTACATTAAATTTTAGAAGTTACATCTTATACCTTAATTTTTAGCTTATTTAAGAAGTCCAATATTTTAATCCAGCTAATAAGCTAATTCATGAATTATTCAAATATTCATGGGACTTATAGATATCAATTGACATTTTATCTCGACGAACAGGCGCCGCGCGTCATTTGTCAACAATGTACACGCTCCCCTTTTGGAAACGTTTGTGGTGTGAATGTCCTAGGGGATTTATATTTTATTGGCAAAGCACTTCCGAAATCAATTCCGAAATTTATATTATAAAAGTGTTAATTTTTTTTTCTTAAAATATACAAATCCTATACAATGACCGGTCCGATATCCATTCCGTTATCTAATATACTTTTGTTTTAATCTTTTTCGTCAATTTAGAAGACGATTTATTTCTTTTCTATGGTGCTGCATTGATTATAACATAATATATTCTAGAGCTTACATTTAATACTTTTTGTTTTGTTTTTGATTAATATTTGTATCTATTATCTCTTCGTTTTTGCCTATAAGTGCTTGCAAAATTGTATATTGTGGTTCTTTTACCAGTGTATCAGTGCGCCGTTGGGAAGCTTTTAGCAACAAAAAAAAAAATAATTTGTAATGTAGTTGTTTTAAATATTTAAGTATATATTTTTATTTGGACCACAAAATTAGCACAGGTACATATACAAACAAACAAATTGAGAATTCCCTACAACATGCATTTATACATTTTATTTGATTTAAATTACATCTTATCAAATTGCCTTTCGCCTACTAATTAGGGAAAAATGTTGAACTTCTTATCCATTCAGCGGATTTATCGCAGCTTAACCAAGCTAAAACTCTTCAAAAATTAATTAAAATTGTCCATACCGAATTAGCAATCTCATTGGTATCTCAACGCTACTTAGGAATAAGAATTTATTGGATATTTTTCTTTTGTAACTTTCCATTTTGTTTGAAAAAATCAAGAAAAAGATACATAAACCTGAGATCAAGATCGTAGTGCACAGGTTTTTTTTAGTTTTTGTCTATTACATAACATACTACACAAATAGATAGTTGTTAGTAATACTTTTTTTTCATACACTAGGTTGTTGTTAACGAATTAGGAAATAAATAAGTACCTGCGTTGTAACGTTCCTACTACTAAATAATTGTAATTATAATCACTAGAGATAATTTAATAGACTGAGTACGCAGCACGTAAAGACTAAACTTATACTGTTTATATGTTACTACAGTAATCCGGTAGATATCGAATATATCAGCGCAGTAAAAAGCCCAAAATAATTTAGCTTGAACAAATCACTCCCCAGGAGGGGTTGTCTACCCCAATTCTTATCAGTGCGGCACACGCCTGTCACCACCTCCACAGCCTTATGAGGATTATGTACTCTAAAGGCAAACGTGTGCCTCGTATTCGTAATAGAAAAGGCATTCTAATATTTTAACAAGCACTTCCTTTTTAAAACAAGGTCATAAAACTCTTCTCAAATATATATCTAATATATAAAATTCTCGTGTCGCGGTGTTTGTAGTTAAACTCCTCCGAAACGGCTTGACCGATTCTCATGAAATTTTGTGTGCATATTGGGTATGTCTGAGAATCGGACAACATCTATTTTTCATCCCCCTAAAGGTTAAGGGTAGTCTACACCTACATTTTTTTGTTAATTTTTAGATATTTTTTAATTTTCTTTATGATACAGCATTAAAAAATACATACAACCCTTAATTTTCACCATTCTACGATCAACACCTATTTTTATTACAAATAATATACATGGCAAAACGACGTTTGCCGGATCAGCTAGTATTACATACATATATAATATATTTTTTAATAATTAAGATAGGCATAACTTTCGTGGTAACTAATTTATTCAGAAGAAAGAGGGTTAACAAGCAAAATCGATATAATTTTCGTTACAGCACTGATTGTTATATAGCTATTACCCGGGTAGTTGGTTTTTCCATAAAATTACTGACCCAGAGGCCAGAGCTGATAACGGCATAACGGCATAACGTCACCCAGACATTAAGTTAATGTAATTAAAATAGTTTTATGTTTTAAGAATCTAAAAAAATGTGTAATATTGTATTTTATTAGCGCCCTCTATGTAATTTAAGATGTACCTCTTAAAAGGTTCTGCTTATAATTAACAGTTCAGATGGTTAAAACAACAAGGACTAAATATTATGACGGTTCTAAAGTTAATAGATAGATGGCGCTGCACACAATAAATATTCTGAAAATACGATAAGGTCGAAGAGTTTATTGCTATTTACCGATTAAACGTTTCATATAATAGAAATATTATTATTATAAAATATATTATTTATCTTCTAGAGTTATGGAATTAGTTATAGTAAATAATTGATTAATAAATAATTGTTTCTGGCTAGCTCCAACCGTTTCATACTTTACCATTCATATAATTCTTTTTAATATTGATTAAAGTTTTAAGTCTAAATTTTAATAGTAACATAATAATTTTTAAACTAGTCATTTTCCTACTAAAATTTATTTCTAATAAATGTCGATTCATCATATTTTAATTATCACTGCATAGCACGTCTATAAGCTAACGGTATGTCAATTATCATTTCAAAAATATCACCTGTCAAAGCCCTTATTTTGTAGGTTAGTTTTACATGTAGTGATCATGCCTAGTTTTTTTGAAGATTTTTTTTTTTAAATTATTATTTGTTTTGGGTTGGGTGTGAGTCAAACGCACCTGAATTTGATGATACTGATTGTGCAGGAGTCTCGGGGA